AGTGTCTGTGTGTAAAAGTGTCTGTGTGTAAAAGCGTCTGTGTGTAAAAGCGTCTGTGTGTAAAAGCGTCTGTGTGTAAAAAGCGTCTGTGTGTAAAAGTGTCTGTGTGTAAAGGCGTCTGTGTGTAAAAAGGTCTGTGTGTAAAAGCGTCTGTGTGTCAAAGCGTTTGTGTGTAAAAGCGTCTGTGTGTAAAAGTGTTTGTATGTAAAAGCTTCTGTGTGTAAAAGCTTCTGTATGTAAAAGCTTCTGTGTGTAAAAGCTTCTGTGGGTAAAAGCTTTGTGTGTAAAAGCGTCAGTGTAAAAGCGTCTGTGTGTAAAAGTGTTTGCGATGCAAACTATTGTCTTGCACTTCTCACTATTTTGTCTTGATACTCCTCTTCTCGACTGCCTATAACACAGCTTTCATATACCGTTTCTAAAATTGCATCTCCATACTAACAAGAGAAGACCCTGCTCCTCTACGCTCTCGGGCCATCCGTCGTCTAGTTGAAAATTTTAGGGACATGTGCTTGAACTATTATGGATTAGACCCAGCATATTATATCACTTTACCTAACTATTCTTGGAATGCCTTTTTATCATTGACAGGAGTTAGACTGCAACAAATACACATAAAAGAAATGTATGAGATGATTGAACATGGATTAAGAGGAGGAATGACACAGTGCTCCTTCAAGAAAGTAGAAGCAAACAATAAATACATGAATGAAGATTATCATAAATCTAAACCTTCATCATACATAAGTTATTTAGATCTAAACATATTGAATATTCATTATTATTTTCCAATTTTGTTAAATTATTATAAATATGAATCTAAGATTCTTGGATGCCAACCTTCTCCGCCAAGTCCAGCACCTTGCAATAAGGATGGAAACGACCTGAAACTACACAAAGCGAACATATAGATCTTGTTCATTCTTTTTCAACAGTTACACGCATATGGTAGAAACAAATACAAACCCATTCAAATTGAAAAGTTCTCTGTTATTTTGGGTCCCAGTCCAGTTATCCCCAAATCAAGCACCATTTTGTGGGGCAAATCCTCCAGTTTTAACCATGGTTGGTAAGGATCAGTTCGCCTCCTGCAGCTTCGCGATCAACTTGCCTCGGGCTTTTGGTAGCTGATCCGTCTTCACAGCCACCTGTGACCCCAAAAATCGGCAGTCCGCTACAGTGGGACCCTAAATTGTCATGCAAAAATTGTATTTTTTGGCACATTCTTAATGGGGAAAGCAATGATGAAGAGGGGCAAAGTCTATCCAAATCTGCGGTTCATGTTGAAAGCAATCTTGCAATGCTATCGTGAGTGACTCAGCTTCAACGCTTTTTAAATTTATCTGGTGCACTTTGCAATGGAATCTAATCTCAGAATCAATGCAGGAGTTCATCATTGACTGGGGCAGATTGTTTCCAGTTCCAGACCTCAAAGATGTTAACTGCATCCTCCATCAGAAAATATGCCTGCAGCCGAGCCGGTGCTTAACGAAACAGCCATGAAACGATGGCACTTACACTGTACTTCCACAGATGTCCCAGTGATGTCAACAGCTTCACAGTTTCGGTGTCTGGCCCGGCCTGGTTGTCCCTGAGAGGATCATCTGGTCGAAGCCCTCTCTCAGACATGTATCGTTCACCGTACTTCTGTATCAACTGGCCAGCCTTTTGTTCCAGGCCACCTCACAGCCGTGCTGTCACGAAGAGGCTGTTGTAAACTACCCTGAGGGAAAAAAGCAAGGCCTGGTAGAAAGACTGAAGATCATATAATATATATAATATATAATATATATAAAATATAATATATATGATATATAATATATAATATATGATAAATCATATATTATATATTATATATAAAAAATATGATAACTAATATATGATAAAAAATATATATATATATATGATATATAATATATAATATCAAAAATCTATGATATAATATATGATATCTAATATGTAATATAAAATATCTAATATATTATATATATTATATGATATATATATAATATATATCTAATATATGATATATTATATACAATATATGAAATATAATATCTAATATCTAATATTTAAAATATTATATGATATAAAATATCTAACATCTAATATCTAATATATGATATATAATATATAATATCTAATATATGATATATAATATACTATACATAATATCTAATATATAATAAATAATCTATAATCAATAATAGATAATACATATAATATATGACATAAAATTTAAAATATAATATATATATATAATATATAATATATATATAATATAATATAATATAATATAATATATAATATAATATATATATATATAATATAATATATAATATCTAATATCTAATATATGATATATAATAAACTATACATAATATCTAATATATAATATATGTAATATATGTAATAAATATAATATGTAATATATAATTTACAATATATAATATATATAATATATATATAATATATAATATATAATATTGAATTTTGAATATTTAAGATGTAATATATAATATATAAAATCAAATATATAATATATAATATCAAATATCTAATATACAATATATATATATAATATAAAATATAATATATAATATATATACGGTATAATATATAATATATAATATATGATATATAATATATAACATATAATATATATTATATAATTTACAATATATAATATCTATTATATAACATATAATTTATAATATCTAATATCTAATGTCAAATATCTAATATCTAATATATAACATCTAATATATAATATATAGTGTATAATACAATATATATATATATATATACATATATATATATACACAATATACCTATCATAATTATTATATCTAAGCTCATGATGTATAGATCCATTGCAAACAGCAAATCTTAAGGGTCCAAACTTTGACCATCTTCACCACAGGCCAGCATTGCATTTCTCGTCCAAGTGGCTTAAGGTCTTTTCCGCTTCCTCCCCAATGAAGGCATCACCAACACTTTCTTCAGCCTCTAAGGCCTCTTTCAAGGCTTGAGCTGCGGGCACCAGGGAGTCCCGATATTCTTTGGGCAGCGGTGCTTGTTGTAATCGGATCACATCTGCCAAAGCCTCAACAGCCAAATCAGACACGAACCTCCAACCCATATCCTGCAAGCCATCAAACCTCATCCTGGCTGGTGAAACATCCCAGAAACAATCGAAAGCCAAGCACTATCTTAATAGAACTTTCCCATCTCCCCATCTCCATTGTATCCCCATTAGATTGCATACAATCACCATTGTTGATATGATCCATTCCTATCCCCATTATGTACCATTAAATTGCATTCAATCCCCAAACAAACATCATATAAATGCATATCATCCGACTTTTTCATTGGTTTTGCTTCATTCCCAATTTGAATTATATGGGAATTCCAAATACCCTCTAGTACTTCAACATAGTCACATATTTATGAAAAATCACAATTGTTCAATGGTAAATCATCTGCAAATGGGCCAGTTTCATCCATTTTCAATAGCTATGTTAAAGAACCCGAGGGCAAATTCTATATATATATATATCAATTATACAAAAAAACAACTATATCAATATTATCAATTCCATATATAAACACCATTTCAAACCATCTAAAATTCGATATTTCCATCTCATAGATGACCTGGCAGTGTGTCAAAACCTTGTACCCCTGGTGAACATCAAAATAGCTGGTAAATGGATGTTCATTCCCCTAAAAATGGTATAATTATAGGTATTGATCCATAGCCAGATGACCTATTTTCACCCAGCAACTGGAAGTGGCAGCGCCAGCATGCCGTGCACAACTCCCCGCCGACTCGCCACCCAGGCCCTGCTCCAAAAGGTCAGCGTCAGCGCCAGCAGCGATGCTCGAAGGACTCGAAGACGCGCCATGTCCGAAAAATGGGGTCGGTCAGACTCTGGATGGGATATGTTATCTAAATAGTCATCATAGTCATGGGTATATCTATTATATCTAGAGTCTGGATGGTATATCTAGATGATATCAGATTATCATAGTAATTATATGCCCCATAATGATGATAATAGATATTAACGATGATGTTTGATTTTGATATCAATCAACGAATGTACAATAGTAAGGTTAGATCAAGCAGAATATCCAAATAATGTGCTTGATATGTGATGTCATATTTATACATTCAGAATTATTGTCATTATATATATATATATATATCATTATATATATATAACATTGCAAATCCATTTATACACACATGCGTCTGGTATAGATGTACATTTGTAATTTCTGACATCTTCTGACTACACTGCACCTAAATCTTAGTATATGGCGTTCACAATGATACTTCTTGGGCTTGCTGATGCTTTGACACCTTTGGGACATGTTCAGGTGTCTCACTAGTCCGCGTTCAAATGTTGGATGTTGCCACTCAAGCCAAGTGTGGCTGGCAGATTCAACTTTCACTTCTGGCTCTGGTGAGAACTAAATTTGAACTAGATATTGTTTGGATCTAGTTGCATCATAGTCATCATATATCTGCAATGGACATGCTGGACAAGAAGCTGGAGAAGTGCCATATTTCATCATATTCCTAACTCGTCCTCCTTTTATGCTTATTATGGACTTATGGATGTTTGCTGCAATTACTTTAGCATTAAAGTACAGTGATTACAAGAGCATGGCCCTTCGAGAAGCAGCGCAAGTGGTACAGCAAACCCTCAAGCTGCTGTCGTATTTTTATCTACGCTGCCCATGAAATCTTTGGGGCAATCCGAATACCTGCAAGGTCAGCAGGGAATACTGCAATCGCAATCTTCATAGAAAAACGGCAGTGCATCCGGCTGTGTTGCTCTGATGTTACGCGTCAAATCCAAATAATGTTGGCACCCGATTAGTGTGATGGGACCCTATTGTGAGAAGTTTTTGCTTCCTAATTGAGTATCTTGGTGTTTGTGGGGGGCTCTATTGTGAGAAGTTTTTTTTTTCAGATCCATTTTTTTAAGGAGGAAAAACTGGTTTAAGAAAAAAACAAGTTAATTAATTACACTTCTTTGGGTAAAGCTGGTCCCTTTACTTTAGAAAGCCATGTCCATGGCAAAGCCTTGAAATGCAAGGTTTTCAAAATAATAACAGTGCAGGGGCAAAGGGGGCCGAAGCGTGGGTTTCCGACGTTGCGCTGTGACGCTCCCGGGGGCGGGTGGCGCTGCGACGCTGCGACGCTGCGACGCTCCGGGGGGCGGGTGGCGCTGCAACGCTGCGACGCTGCGACGCTGCCGTTGGGCCAGTGACGCTGCGACGCTGTTGGCGCTGCGACGCTGCGACGCTGGAGTGACGCTGCGACGCTGTTGGCGCTGCGACGCTGCGACGCTGCGACGCGGGAGCGACGCTGCGACGCTGTTGGCGCTGCGGCGCTGCGACGCTGCATCGCGGGAGCGACGCTGCGACGCTGTTGGCGCTGCGACGCTGCGACGCTGCGACGCTGCGACGCGGGAGCGACGCTGCGACGCTGTTGGCGCTGCGACGCTGCGACGCTGCGAGCGACGCTGCGACGCTGTTGGCGCTGCGACGCTGCGACGCTGCGACGCGGGAGCGACGCTGCGACGCTGTTGGCGCTGCGACGCTGCGACGCTGCGACGCGGGAGCGACGCTGCGACGCTGTTGGCGCTGCGACGCTTCCTTCTGCAAGAGTGCACACGGCGTTGCGTCGCGGCGCGACACGGAAACCCCCATTGAAGATCGTCAATGAATGTAGAAATTTATATATAACGGGGCTGAAAGAATTAAATCCTTATTGAAGATCGTCCATGAATGTAGAAGTTTAACGGGGCTGGGAGAATTAAACCCTCATTGAAGATCGTCAGTGAATGTAGAAGTTAAACGGGGCTGGGGAGAATTAAACCCTCATTGAAGATCGTCCATGAATGTAGAAGTTTAACGGGGCTGGGAGAATTAAACCCTCGTTGAAGATCGTCAGTGAATGTAGAAGTTTAACGGGGGTGGGGAGAATTAAAACCTCATTGAAGATCGTCAATGAATGTAAAGTCTAACGGGGCTGGGGAGAATTAAAACCTCATTGAAGATCGTCCATGAATGTAGAAGTTTAACGGGGGTGTGGAGAATTAAACTCTCATTGAAGATCGTCAATGAATGTAGAAGTTTAACGGGGCTCGGGAGAATTAAACCCTCATTGAAGATCGTCCATGAATGTAGAAGTTTAACGGGGCTGGGGAGAATTAAACCCTCATTGAAGATCGTCCATGAATGTAGAAGTTTAACGGGGCTGGGGAGAATTAAACCCTCATTTAAGATCGTCCATGAATGTAGAAGTTTAACGGGGCTGGGGAGAATTAAACCCTCATTGAAGATCGTCCATGAATGTAGAAGTTAAACGGGGCTGGGGAGAATTAAACCCTCATTTAAGATCGTCCATGAATGTAGAAGTTTAACGGGGCTGGGGAGAATTAAACCCTTATTTAAGATCGTCAAAGAAAGTAGAAGTTTAACGGGGCTGGGGAGAATTAAACTCTCATTGAAGATCGTCAATGAATGTAGAAGTTTAACGGGGCTCGGGAGAATTAAACCCTCATTGAAGATCGTCCATGAATGTAGAAGTTTAACGGGGCTGGGAGAATTAAACCCTCATTGAAGATCGTCAATGAATGTAGAAGTTAAACGGGGCTGGGGAGAATTAAACCCTCATTGAAGATCGTCAATGAATGTAATAGAAGTTTAACGGGATTTAACGGGGCTGGGAGAATTAAACCCTCGTTGAAGATCGTCCATGAATGTAGAAGTTAAACGGGGCTGGGGAGAATTAAACCCTCATTTAAGATCGTCCATGAATGTAGAAGTTTAACGGGGCTGGGGAGAATTAAACCCTTATTTAAGATCGTCAAAGAAAGTAGAAGTTTAACGGGGCTGGGGAGAATTAAAACCTCATTGAAGATCGTCCATGAATGTAGAAGTTTAACGGGGCTGGGAGAACTAAACCCTCATTGAAGATCTTCGATGAATGTAGAAGTTAAACGGGGCTGGGAGAATTAAACCCTCATTGAAGATCGTCCATGAATGTAGAAGTCTAACGGGGCTGGGGAGAATTAAAACCTCATTGAAGATCGTCCATGAATGTAGAAGTTAAACGGGACTGGGGAGAATTAAACTCTCATGGAAGATCGTCAATGAATGTAGAAGTTTAACGGGGCTCGGGAGAATTAAACCCTTATTGAAGATCGTCCATGAATGTAGAAGTTTAACGGGGGTGGGGAGAATTAAACCCTCATTGAAGATCGTCAATGAATGTAGAAGTTTAACGGGGCTGGGGAGAATTAAACCCTCATTGAAGATCGTCCATGAATGTAGAAGTTAAACGGGGCTGGGGAGAATTAAACCCTCATTTAAGATCGTCCATGAATGTAGAAGTTTAACGGGGCTGGGGAGAATTAAACCCTCATTGAAGATCTTCAATGAATGTAGAAGTTTAACGGGGCTGGGAAGAATTAAACCCTCATTTAAGATCGGCCATGAATGTAGAAGTTTAACGGGGCTGGGAGAATTAATCCCTCATTTAAGATCGTCCATGAATGTAGAAGTTTCACGGGGTCTGTTGATAATTAAAACCTCATTGAAGATCGTCCATGAATAGTAAAGTTAAACGGGGCTGGGAAGAACTAAAACCCTCATTGAAGATCTTCGATGAATGTAGAAGTTTGAAGGGGCTGGGAGAATTAAACCCTCATTTAAGATCGTCAATGAATGTAGAAGTCTAACGGGGCTGGGGAGAATAAAAACCTCATTGAAGATCGTCCAATCAATGTAGAAGTTTAACGGGGCTGGGGAGAATTAAACCCTCATTGACGATCTTCAATGAATGCAGAAGTTTAACGGGGGTGGGGAGAATTAAACCCTCATTGAAGATTGTCAATGAATGTAGAAGTCTAACGGGGCTGGGGAGAATTAAAACCTCATTGAAGATCGTCCATGAATGTAGAAGTTTAACGGGGGTGGGGAGAATTAAACCCTCATTGAAGATCGTCAAAGAAAGTAGAAGTTTAACGGGGCTGGGGAGAATTAAAACCTCATTGAAGATCGTCCATGAATGTAGAAGTTTAACGGGGCTGGGAGAATTAAACCCTCATTGAAGATCTTCAATGAATGTAGAAGTTAAACGGGGCTGGGAGGAATTAAACCCGTATTGAAGATCTTCAATGAATGTAAAAGTTTAACGGGGCTGGGAAATTAAACCCTCATTGAAGATCGTCAATGAATGTAGAAGTTTAACGGGGGTGGGGAGAATTAAACCCTCATTGAAGATCTTCAATGAATGTAGAAGTTTAACGGGGCTGGGGAGAATTAAACCCTCATTGAAGATCGTCAATGAATGTAGAAGTTTAACGGGGCTGGGGAGAATTAAACCCTCATTGAAGATCGTCAATGAATGTAGAAGTTTAACGGGGCTGGGGAGAATTAAACCCTCATTGAAGATCTTCATGAATGTAGAAGTTTAACGGGGCTGGGAGAATTAAACCCTCATTGAAGATCGTCAATGAATGTAGAAGTTTAACGGGGCTGGGAGAATTAAACCCTCATTGAAGATCTTCAATGAATGTAGAAGTTTAACGGGCCGAGGTAGTGTTCAGAGGGGGTCGCTGGCTTGATCTTCGAAGATGCAACATATATTCAAAGGGGGTTGCGGGGCTGATGTCTCAAGGTGCAACGTATTGTTCAGAGGGGGTTGGGGAGTTGATGTCTTGTGATGGTGAAGATGCAACATAGTGTTCAGAGGGGGTTCCAGGGCTACTGTCTCAGCTTGTCCGGTGGCTTCTCGGCTTCTCGGCTTGTCCGGTGGCTTCTCGGCTTCTCGGCTTGCCCGGCGGCTTCTCGGCTTCGCGGCTTCTCGGCTTCTCGGCTTGCCCGGCGGCTCCTCGGCTTCGCGGCTTCTCGGCTTCTCGGCTTGTCCGGTGGCTTCTCGGCTTCTCGGCTTCTTGGCTTCTCGGCTTGTGCCGGGCTTCTCGGCTTCTCGGCTTCTCGGCTTCTCGGCTTCTCGGCTTCTCGGCTTGTGTCGTACTTCGCGGCTTCTCGGCTTCTCGGCTTCTCGGCTTGTGTCGGGCTTCTCGGCTTCTCGGCTTCTCGGCTTCTGGTCGCATTTCTGGGCCCCTTTTGCCCGTGCTTTGAATAATAAGATGCCTTATTAAACCCTTATTAAACACAGCATCCAAACAATTTTTCAAGGGGGTACCCCATTAGTGACCGAGATCCTCAATAATGTAATTGTTTGGATGGTACCCTATTGTGCACAACAACTTTTTGGGTGTTTTTTTGATTTGAAAGGAAAATCAATTGAAAGTAGATTCAAATGAATTGAAAGTAAATTGCTTTCAATTGAAATCCTTTCTTATCAATAGATTTCTTTGAGGTTTAAAAGGAAAATCAATTGAACGTAGATTCAAATGAATTGAAAGTAAATTGATTTCAATTGAAATCCGTTCTTATCAAGAGCTGTTTTTGAGGTTTAAAAGGAAAATCAATTGAAAGTAGATTGATGTCAATTGAAATCCTTACTTAAGTTGACTATCCTAAAAATTGGCGAGGGCGGCGCGCAGAAAATGCCGAGTTATTCAGTAGACTAAAATTGTTTGAGGGGGGGGGCCCTCACACTAATCAGTAGCCAACATTAATTCATAATAGTTCCACAATATTCCACATCAGCTGAATGCTGCGCTTGCCTTTAAGATACTTTACCCTCTGGTAATTTAACATAACTATGGAACATCACAATTTTTAATGGGAAAATCCACTATAAATGGCCATTTTCAATAGCTATGTTAAATTACCAGAGGGTAAGACAAACCTTGTTTTGAAACCACCGTCATCCGCAGCAAAGAAACCAGAATCAGAGTGGAAGAACATCTTGGAAAAACGACAGGCGTTTTCCAAGGAAAATCTCTCGAAGCTTGGCATGACCCAAAAGATCGGGCAGACACACCACATCAACATCTTCCAAATCATGATATCCATTGATATCCATTGATATCCACAATCTTAAGATATCTTGAGCATGATGTAAAATCTGCATAAATAAATGGCCTTCAAAGGGGGCTGCGGCTTGCAGCTGCCCTGGCAGTTGAAAGGTCCCGCAGAGAACAGCCTATAGGAGTCAGAAACATTCAGATTACCTGGATAACCATGGAACACTATGGATAACCATTGATCATTGACAACCCGGATGGATCGCAATGATCTCACGATCTTCGGTGCCAAAACAGGTCAGGCTCACTGTCGTAATGCTTTGGACAAGACAGCAGCACGGGATTTTGCATCCGGTCCCAGCTTGCCTGGTGATGACAGATGCGATTGGCTGTCAAGAAATCACTGAATTTTCTTGAGCTGGACAGGTAATCACCAGTTGTTCTGGTTGTTGTTTTTCATCTTTGGTGGTTTCAAATGTTTCAACCAATCTGAACAAATCCAAAACTATTTGGTGATATTTGATGTTTCCTGTAGGAAAACAACAAACACCTGGCACCATCGACGTGAAAAGCTCGGCCATTTGGGATATTTGGGGAGACGTTGCGACGTCAGGTCGTTGCAAATCGTCGCAGGTGTTATCTCATTATAACCCCATTCACTTCCATTCATGTTCCACTGATATTCCATCAATATTCGACTCATCTTCCATTCAATATCGTAATATTGCATTCATATTCCATTAGTAATTATAATAATCATTAATGTTCCATTGTTTTCCATTATAAGGTCCATTGTATATATATATAATATACACATTGTATTATACGGGAACTACATTTAAATATACGAACTGGTATTTCATACTACCTCCGGGGCCTCGCGGTCTGGCCCGCCCTCCACATATTTAAATGCCGTTACCGTATTGTAACATCTCATTCATATTCCATTCATATTCTATTCATGTCACATTTACATAATCTTGCCTCAATATTCCATTCATATTCCAAGAATATCCCGTGATATTCCCATGGAACAACCATCCCCTGGTGAGCAGCACTTCGCCTAGTGCACGCTGCAGCAATAGCTGGCTTCTGAAAATGGGCTTGGAACCAGGACCTCTGCTTCACTTCATACCCAAGGGATCCCAAGGTGAGGGTAAAAAAAACATGTCATGTTTGGTCAACTTAAACTGGTTGGTGGTTTTAACCATCTTAAAAAATATGAAAGTCTGAAAGTCAATGGAAAGGATTAGCCATATATTATGGAAAATAACAAATGTTCCAAACCACCAACCAGTAAATGTTGCTAATGCATATTAATACCTACATTTTGGGAAATCATCGATTTTGGATGAATTTGACCCGCCGATAAGCATGTACCAATGATGCCCTGAAAAGGGAAACTGTGGATTTAGGCTTAGCTTGTTGCAATCTAGGAGTTGGTTCTCAGATGGGAGGTGTCCCTTGACATAATCAACGAACCAGTGGTAAATAGAAGAACAACGAAGAACATCCATTCAAAGACAAAACTTGGAATATCTTGGAATATTCCTTTCTTCCGTTGTAATTAAATGTGTGCCATGTGGTGAATTCAATATGAATCACTGGCCAGACTGACCATTTTGACTTAAGCTGTTTCAAGCCAAAGTGCAAAGCCGAGAGAGGCCCAGGACAAAGTTCTCCGCAATCTTCTCATTCTCTGCCTGCAACTTCTATGTATATATATATATATATCTCTCTCTCTCTAATTATATAATATAACTATATAATATAACGATATAAAAAAAAAACATATATATAATTCTATATAATTACATGCGTATATATGGTTGTTGATCAAAGTTCCTTTATCCCGGAACGGCCATTCTTCGAGAATAAGCATTTTACTTTCGCGAAACTTTCGCGAACTCCATGTTTATCTTTCGCGGGGCCCGTGTTGGCCAACAACACCTCTTATGAAGATTCGTTCACCACCTGCCAAATTATGCCAGAGAATCACGGATCACTTCTTGGTAGCCTTTTAAACATGCAGCTAGCATCACGGAACCCCTTCTCAGGACAGATTTTTTTTTCAAAGTATACTGGCCCACCCCCTTCAACATGCACTTTGACTTTCGCCCGCTCTTTCGCATAACTTTCGCGAAAATATCCCTATTCACAGACCCCGGCCATCAGCAGGGGGTGCACTGAAGGAAAAGCGAAGACCAGGGGCCTTGGTGTTTGGCTCTCGCAAAGCCTCACTTTTGGAAACTTGGCTACTGCTACTCGCATTCTCTGGTGCCTTTCTCCTGCCGGACCCCGGGCGGCAGTGGGTGGCAGCCCTTTACATATAATGATTATAATACCCGCGAAAATTTTACTTTCGCGAACTCAAAAAAAAACTTTCGCGAGGGTTTCCAACATAACATGCACGGCTTTCGCAATTAAAACTCCTTACAAGGACCTTTAGATCGATCACCATATATATATATATATATATCGTAAATAGAAAAACAAACACACACACACAACAAATCCACAAGACCGAGCCATGAATCTCCGCCGACCCCTGCCGCCAGCAGGGGGAGCGCGTCAGAGGAGGCCTTACTAGCAACAAGGGGCGAAAAGAGAAAATTCGGTCCTCAGGCCCTGCTGTTTGGCTGTGGCGGAGACGCCGTTTTAGGTCAGACAGCTAGCTAGTTTTCTTGTAAGTTCAAAAAGCAACGTTAGGCACTGGGGGCCGTGGCCCGTAGGCCCGGTCCGTCCCTCAGGGCCTTGCTGTTTGGCTGTGGCGGAGGCGCCGTTTTAGGTCAGACAGCTAGTTTTCTTGTAGGTTCAGAAAGCAATGTTAGGCACTGGGGGCCGTGGCCCGTAGGCCCGGTCCGTCCCTCAGGGCCTTGCTGTTTGGCTGTGGCGGAGGCGCCGTTTTAGGTCAGACAGCTACTTTTCTTGTAGGTTCAGAAAGCAACGTTAGGCAGTGGGGGCCGTGGCCCGCAGGCCCCGTCCGTCCCTCAGGGCCCCGCCCTGTGTGAGCCTTGGCGGCTGGAAGACAGGTCGTGGCGGCCGTGGCCCGCACGCCCGGTCCGTCCTTCAGGGCCCTGCTGTTTGGCTGTGGCGGAGGCGCCGTTTTAGGTCAGACAGCTACTTTTCTTGTAGGTTCAGAAAGCAACGTTAGGCAGTGGGGGCCGTGGCCCGCAGGCCCCGTCCGTCCCTCGGGGCCCTGCTGTTTCGGTGTGGCGAGCGCGCCCTGTGTGAGCCTTGGCGGCTGGAAGACAGGTCGTGGCGGCCGTGGCCCGCAGGCCCGGTCCGTCCCTCAGGACCGTGCTGTTTTGGCGTGGCAATCGCGCCGTGTGTGAGCTTTGGCGGCTGGAAGACAGGTCAGGCAGCTAGCTTTCTTGTAGGTTCAGAAAGCAACGTTAGGCAGTGGGGGCCGTGGCCCGCAGGCCCGGTCCGTCCCTCAGGGCCTTGCTGTTTCGGTGTGGCGAGCGCGCCGTGTTTGAGCCTTGGCGGCTGGAAGACAGGTCGTGGCGGCCGTGGCCCACACGCCCGGTCCGTCCTTCAGGGCCCTGCTGTTTGGCTGTGGCGGAGGCGCCGTTTTAGGTCAGACAGCTACTTTTCTTGTAGGTTCAGAAAGCAATGTTAGGCACTGGGGGCCGTGGCCCGTAGGCCCGGTCCGTCCCTCAGGGCCTTGCTGTTTGGCTGTGGCGGAGGCGCCGTTTTAGGTCAGACAGCTACTTTTCTTGTAGGTTCAGAAAGCAACGTTAGGCAGTGGGGGCCGTGGCCCGCAGGCCCCGTCCGTCCTTCAGGGCCCTGCCCTGTGTGAGCCTTGGCGGCTGGAAGACAGGTCGTGGCGGCCGTGGCCCGCACGCCCGGTCCGTCCTTCAGGGCCCTGCTGTTTGGCTGTGGTGGAGGCGCCGTTTTAGGTCAGACAGCTACTTTTCTTGTAGGTTCAGAAAGCAACGTTAGGCAGTGGGGGCCGTGGCCCGCAGGCCCCGTCCGTCCCTCGGGGCTCTGCTGTTTCGGTGTGGCGAGCGCGCCCTGTGTGAGCCTTGGCGGCTGGAAGACAGGTCGTGGCGGCCGTGGCCCGCAGGCCCGGTCCGTCCCTCAGGACCGTGCTGTTTTGGCGTGGCAATCGCGCCGTGTGTGAGCTTTGGCGGCTGGAAGACAGGTCAGGCAGCTAGCTTTCTTGTAGGTTCAGAAAGCAACGTTAGGCAGTGGGGGCCGTGGCCCGCAGGCCCGGTCCGTCCCTCAGGGCCTTGCTGTTTCGGTGTGGCGAGCGCGCCGTGTTTGAGCCTTGGCGGCTGGAAGACAGGTCGTGGCGGCCGTGGCCCACACGCCCGGTCCGTCCTTCAGGGCCCTGCTGTTTGGCTGTGGCGGAGGCGCCGTTTTAGGTCAGACAGCTACTTTTCTTGTAGGTTCAGAAAGCAACGTTGGGCAGTGGGGGCCGTGGCCCGCAGGCCCCGTCCAACCCTCGGGGCTCTGCTGTTTCGGTGTGGCGAGCGCGCCCTGTGTGAGCCTTGGCGGCTGGAAGACAGGTCAGTGCAGCTTGCTTTCTTGTAGGTTCAGAAAGCAACGTTAGGCAGTGGGGGCCGTGGCCCGCAGGCCCGGTCCGTCCCTCAGGGCCTTGCTGTTTCGGTGTGGCGAGCGCAGCCTTGGCGGCTGGAAGACAGCTAAGAGAGTTAGTTTTCTTGTAGGTGCAGAAAGCGACGTTAGGCACTGAGGGCGGTGGCCTGCAGGCCCGGTCCGTCCTTCAGGGCCCTGCTGTTTGGCTGTGGCGGAGGCGCCGTTTTAGGTCAGACAGCTACTTTTCTTGTAGGTTCAGAAAGCAACGTTAGGCAGTGGGGGCCGTGGCCCGCAGGCCCCGTCCGTCCCTCGGGGCCCTGCTGTTTCGGTGTGGCGAGCGCGCCCTGTGTGAGCCTTGGCGGCTGGAAGACAGGTTGTGGCGGCCGTGGCCCGCAGGCCAGGTCCGTCCCCACACACGGAGCTTGGGACTCTTGCGTTGCCGGTCCAAGTACCACACGCGTCTGCAAGGTCCGACAGGGTATACGTTGCTATCTGGCATACCTGGTATCTGCCACGATGTCGCGGTTTCAAACTTTACATACACCACCGCCGGCAATGCGTTGCACACAACTCCTTCAGGTGCAGGCGTCTCATTGGCAATCTCGGACCAACCCACGACGAGGCCTTTGGTGCCCTTGAGAATGCCGCGCTTCCGGTCCAAGTGGTCTGTTGCACGGACAGGCATGCCGACGCACAACGGCAACACGCCGTATAGCCCACCGCACTCTTTGTCGTGTCGCTGCAACCATTGCAATTTCTCGTTTTGGCAAATCACCTATGATACTTCATACAGTTTTCTCTTCCGAGGGCAAGCCACTCACCGCCTACTGCAGCCAAACTGCAACCCGGCAATCTTGCATCTGCTGCCAGCATCGCCATAGAGCCGTCTGCACAAGATCACCAACGCCTGAGCACCGCCCCACTCAATCACCCATAACATCGTCTTACTTCTTCCAGAGCCTCACCCACACCCAACCCCCTGCTTCTCCCGCTACGCCAAGGCACACCAGCCCAAACATGGGTGAATTGCACCAAGTTCTTTGCCACCTCCGGGAGCTTCTTACCTCACGCTGCCCTGCTCCCGGGCCACCACTCATCTCTCTAACTTATCTCAATATGGATCCATGTGCGATACACAGTCAGCTCGATTTGCTTCTTGGTTGTGTCTGGAAACGGGACCCTTACAGAAGCCATCAGACTTTGGTACAGAGACTCCTTCACATGAGGGACCTAAATTTAAGACCCAAAACAATATGGATGTGCGCAACACCGACCACATGGGGACTGCTTTCCCAGATAACCACCGAGATGGAATCTTAAACAACGAAAATGTGTACAGTACGTCCCCACCAGAAACGCACAGCGCGGAAATCCTTAACAAAGTCTTGACATAAACCTCTCAATGCCTTTTTTTTCTGTCAATATGTTTGATGGCCATAACAAAATGAATGGCTGACGGGTCTGCGGTCCATGTTTCTGTTTCACTCCTTCTGCAGTCTTCGATCTTTACAATGATTTTTTGGCCTGGACCGACCTGGACCGACCTCTCACTCGCAACAAATTGCCGTGGTCCACACAAAATTTCATTCTTCATTGCGAAACACAATGCTTTCCCCGACGCCCAGGTGAAACCTACTAGGATAGGGGTGTGTGCTTGTACGTGTGTCTGTGTACGGCCTGTCGATGTACGAATCATTACGAATCCACCAACCCATTGAAAGTCAACACCCAACCGCCCTTGGCGTCACCGCCCCTGCTCAACTGCCGTCAGCCATGTTGCATTTCCGGCACAGTCTGTGCACCTCCTCGCCGCCCAGCTCCACCAACTCCGCCGTGACCAACTCATGCAGCCTGCAGCCGCTCAGCCCTCCTACATTCCCTTCCCCAACATGGCCCTCATCTCCCCTCATTCTCTAACCCTTCCTGCATCTTGCAGCCTCAGCTGCCATACAGACCCTCCTCTGCTGCCAAGGCACGGCGCCCCAGCGATCGCAGTCGATGATCCGCCCACGCCAGCACCACATGCAATACACGATCGCGGCATGGCTCTCTGTCTATCTACCTTGCAAGTCGAACAACATGTGCTTTTTTGTCAGCGACAGGGCCATGCCAACCTAGTCTCCCTCTATCTCTCTACAGGCTTGGAGATAGAAGAAGTCATTCACATATGTTGATGCACTGTTTCAGCTGCCAACATGCGCAAAAAATATGAGATGATAAACTGTGATGTTGACTGTCATGTCGAATAATGCATTGAATCAGTTTAATCTTTTCATTGATGCTTTGCACTCCCATAAGCCAAAGTCCACAACATCGCGCAGTTGAAGCAGCTTTGTCTTCGTCCAAAATTGCCTTCACACTTCAGATCGCATCACTGCAGAGGCTTTATCGGAGTTTCTGCCCAGTATGGTTTTGCACATATTTTGCGTCTACTAGTATATACCATGGTAATATATATGACCCTCCAGTGTCCAGGGGTCGGCGGCAGAGGGCGTAGCCCTTTAATCAATGTAAACATGCGGACATATCTTCACTTTAACCAAGCTTCACAACGTCTGAAAAATCCGACTGGCGCTGAGTTCGATACCTTGAAGTGAAAGGATCGCTTTGGAGTCCAAACAGAGAAGCAACACCAAGGTTCTGTCTCCTTCACAGTTCAGGAAACCCACCGTTTATCGGTGCAAATGTCTGCTGAAAGTCATGCATCTGTCAGGAAACTTGTTGAAAATAGGTGACATGCAAGGCAACCCACACAGCTTATCCGCAAACCATGGCCTATCGTGAACAAAAAGGGTGGCTTCTATTTTTTCTTTCACAACATGTGCGACATCCTTGCAGAACATCCGAATCCAGGGACCTTATCTCTCTGACCGGCTGGCAAGGCTTCTGCGCCGAAGCTGATCTGGACGACCTGACACAGAAATTTCGCGAAAAGCGACATGTTTTGTATCCAAAGATGGGGACCCTCGAATTTCTGCCAGCTGATCTTTATTTCCTTTCTACGCATTCTACGCAAACCATTGCGAAATCATGAGAAATCAATCGCATGAACATATTCTTTCAGAATTTTCAGATATCTTCCCCATGCCGGGCCATGCCGTCTGAGGAAGTTTGAGAAAACAGGAGGACTTGGCCAGAGAAGTCAAGTCAGTCGTCGTGCCTCCTTGATGTCGACGCAGGTGGGTCGCCCAAAGATTCTTCGACCTGATAAGAGGAACGTCACAAGTGGTTGTTGACTCCTAAAGTCACCCTCTGCGCACCCATATACTTGGCATCTGTTGACCAAGTAAGGCTCTTTGCTGCTGCCGGCGGTCCCTCAGATGGCGGGATGAAGTAGGCTTCATCTCCCCAAATTGGAAACTTCCGGAGTGTACTACTGCCTTCTGCGTTCCGGTACTACTGTTTTTTTTATCCTAAAGTGTCTGAAACTTCTATCAGCCAGCCAGTATCTGTTTCTAGAGTTACCCAGAAAAACAAGGGCTCGCACTGGCGTCAGCGCCAGAAAGCGTTGCTGCCACTTGCCTTTGCCTGCCTGACCAGCTGAATGGAGCAAAGGAATGCAATCGTAGCCATGTTGCAGCAGCTACATACATGATGGGCATTTGTTTCAAGAAAATGACTATAGATCGTTATAGACCATTAAAAAACATAAATCATGATACCATGGACCATGGATGAATGATTGGTATTGACATGTCAATGTATTAACCACATTATTTCTGTAGCTGCCCTTGACCACTTGACCACCCGTTTTTTTCCGGCCCTTGGCCGTTTTTTTTTATGCCCTTGGCGTCCGGGCGCATAGCTTCCAAAGTGGGGCACCTTCCGCCATCATTTTCAGGAAACCCACCTTGCCAGGATATCTGGGGGTCCAAACCGCTGGAATCCCTTGTTGAGTCACCTGGTTTTAGCTGGTGCATGATGGGAAATGGATAGGAAATGGATGTCCATTTCTACTGATGCTATCCATAGGTGATCCATAGCCAGGTGGTTGAATCAGCCCAACAAGATTCAGTTCCGGTTGTCAATCTCAAATTGGGGGATTCAACATTCTGAAATCGACGATGTGGCTTGTAGGGCATGGGCATCGAAAGACATTGCAAACCGTTTCCACGCTTGAGAATCGCTCTTGTACCCCTCATGGAGTCAGGAAGACACATTTTGATGCACCACCCAGCAGCAAATTCTTGTGATACGTCCTGGTTTAGAGACATTTGCTGCTGGTCGACTGGGAATCTTGCCACTGAGCCCTTTGGAAGCTCCTTTGCACCTTCCAAATTGCGAAGGCAACTTTGACATGTCCAACACAGGTAGAAATCCAATGGAACATCATCATTCATGGACAGCAGTATCCAACCTCCTCCTCACAAGCATGTTTCTTGGATTTTGGGACCCCACCACTTTGAAATCTATGGGTGGGCGCAAACTGCAAGTGACTCATCTTGATATATGATTGCACTTCTCAGATTCTTTTCCTTTTAGCATATGATCTCGGTTTGAAAATGTGGTAAATACTTACTTCCCATTGGGTTCGCTAGTGCTCTCCAAGATACAGTATATCAAGGTAATATGAAGTATCTGTGGCTCCTTTGGCCCCCTAATAATTATCTATAAAATATATATAATATATATATATATAATATGGCCAAATTGTGATACAAATGATACAAAAGGCTATGGGTCAAAAGCCTGGTACCTTTCTATTCAGCCCAAAATAGCTGGTGGATGTTCATTCCCCTAAATATGTTGGAAAAACAAAACACAGGTTTTGAGCCATCCCCATCCCCATGATTCCCATTCTGTCCCATTCAATTGCAAACAACATTTCCATGAATTTCCATTTCAAAAAATCATGACTCAAATCCATTCAAGTCCATAAAAACCCATAAAAATCAAATCTCGGCTCTTTGGTTTTGACTCATTCCCAATCTCCAAATGACAACCATCTACCGCCTTCCACCTTCGCAGCCGCCAAGGCTGCCCTGGAAGATTTCACCTCAACGCGGCGAAAAAGTGCTGGGTCAAAAGCCTGTACCCCTGGTGAACCCCAAGTCATAGCTGGGATTTATGGATGTTCATTCCACTAATGGTATATTAATGGTATTAATAGGTATTGACCCATACCCATATCCAAATTGATCCAAAAATTGTCGTTCCCCTTCAATTCTGAAACTTCGAATCTCGATTTCTCGCCTCTTTGGCACTTTGGCCTGAAGTTTTTTTTTCTCAACGCTCGATGTCCTACACCCTGCCTCCAGTTTGGCACTTTCTGCACCTGGGAGAACATTGCAATTTGCATACTCTGTGATCCAGGGAATGGACCACCCTCCCCTAACCTTAAACATGTCTAGGGCACGAAGAGCCAGCACACATATTCAAGATAATCAAACATATATACTCAATTAACATAATATCAGCTCCACTATCAGCTCTCAAAAATGCATGCCTAGAACATGTGGGACAAAGCTCAAACTGTATCCATGGTTTTCTTCGCTGCCCATCTGTCGCCTTGTTGTGTTGCTTGTTCCAGGGCGGCCTCCATCTTCGCTGCCTGTGCGACTCTCTCTCTCTCTCTCTCTTCCTTTGGCACAAATGCGATTGACAGGGGACGCGTTTGAAAGTAGGTCCAGATCAACGTCAAACAATGTCAATGGCTATGATCTTACTATCGCTATTGTAGTAGCAATACAAGAATCTCCCATGGATCAATCATCTTGGCTGCAAAGAAGCAGTTCCTTTTCCTGCCGTTTCCAAGCATCAAAATCCTGCCTGGTCTTCTGCTTGCTTCTGGGCAGGTCAGCTCACACATCGGGCTGCAAGGACCGACAAATTGGATCAAATTGGGCCTCTTTGAGTATGAAACAATTCTATCCAGCTTTTGAATCATGCAGCTAATTTCAATTAATTTCAGCTAGTTGCCTTGTGTCAGACATTGTGTCACCTAGCATTTTTAACCATGGAACAGGCTTTCTTCAGCGTAGCAGCCAGACTCCATGTCAGGCACCTCGTGAGCTTCCAGAGCTTCAGCTAGCCTCTGATCTCTGATCAGTCGCCGTGATATCCGTGATGAGTGGATAGTTACGATAGTTGTCATTGAGCTCAAGGGAATCATATGGGGATGGGTCAAAACCCTGGTACCCCTGTAGTTCACATCAAAATAGCTGGGTTTTATGGATGTTCATCCCACTAAAAATGGTATTAATAGGTATTGATCCATAGCCAGTTGTCATCATTGAGCTCAAGGGAATCATATGAGCGATGGCAGCTATGGTATCCATGATGTCTTCTTTTTCTCGCAGCAACCACAATGATGAGGCCGCCACTCTCGGTTCTGATCTTCAGCCTCCAGCAACTCTTTCTTCAGCTGCAAAACTTCGCCTGCTGAACACAAACAGCTGGACTTCAAAACCAAAGAAGGGAAACAACTAGGCACCTAGGCACCTAGGCTGAGTTTCGGGAACAACTGGATGATGTCTATCTCGGCCTCTATGCACTATGCAATGATTTACGATTGAGTTACAAGGCTGATGCTATACATGGATATACATGGAAGGTTGTTAATTTATCAATCAAATCTATGAATCGACTGAATCGACAGATCCATGAACGATGAACACCCAACTCGAAATTGTAGATGCTTCGAACAAATTGTCCATGATTATCGATGACCTTCGGTGCAGTGAACATTCCAAGGCAAGTCTGATTGGCAAGTCTATACAATTGCAATGCTAAATCACTGATGACCGCAAACACATCGCTTTTCAACAATTCTTGGATAGCAAATGATAGCAAGAAGGAAAACAAGAATCATACAATGCACTAAAATCATCCATGATGTAATACATGCCATGAACACCACAGCAAGGAGAATTTATCCCCAGGCATCCGGACTGGGTGGCGCATCCTAACGAGATGGGCGTTTCTCAAACATGGGGAGCCCGTAGAACTGACGATTGTCCCGTTTGCAAAAACACAAACAGAGGTCAGTAGAACCAGTGGACTGTCCAGAGCAGCTTTTCTGCAGCCAGGAGTTCTGTGAAACAGTTTTTCTGCCAGGTCTGAATCCAAAATTGAGTTGTGTTTTTCCTTGTAAATGGTGGGTCCTCGTGTAACATGTTGGGTCTAAAAGACATGCTAAAAAGATTTAGTTGTATACATGTATCTATATAGATATCTCGTGCATACATGTATATCTATATAATTATCTATGTACATACATCAGAGATAAAAGCTATAAGTTATAAGATGTTATAAGTATCCAATCAATCTACAAACAAAACTTACATGGACTAAACATACTAAACATCAATTCCAATAAACTAATCATAAGATCCATCAATCCACTCTGTTGCAGCTCGCCTCGTGCCCCAACTCACGGATGCGAAGCTGCAACGCCTCCGGACATTGCATGGAAATCCCATGGGGGAAATTCTTGGAACATTACCCATAGGATCCATGCATGGTATATATGCTAACATTTGGGGTAGATTGATGGTAAATGTTCACATATATGGCATACATGGATCCTATGGGTTATAATTTTAACATATTTTAACAGATTCCATATTATGTGATGTTCACTTTTAAGCATATACCAATGAATATAATAGTGAATATAGCATGTAACTTTCTGGTAGCTTTTCCATATCTTATAATTTGCTGGTAGACCCGAGACCAACACCACTTTCACCTATGATTCCAGCTCGAGTCAAGGGACGGACCCATACGGAAAAATTAGTAACCTGAATACCCTGGCTACATCTGGTGCATTTGCTTAAGACTAGCATTATGTTATCTTACAGTTCCACTACATGACAATATAGAAAATACATGAAAATACATGAACGTACAGTCACTACTCCACTAGCACACCGGTTGCGAGACTTCCCAGTGCCTGGATGGTTGCCTGGTGTTGCTTTGTGCTTTCACGGCCTCGACTTGGGCTTCGAAAAAAAGAAAAAAAACGCGGTGACTAATGTAGAGCGACCACGACGATGCCGCGGAACAAGACACGATGTTCATCCCCCTGAAAAATGTAGATAGGATATATCAATGGCTACGAGTAGAAAATAGGTTTTGAGCCGTGCAAAAGACGTTCAACATCTCCTGCTGTTGGTGCAGTCACCTCTTGATATTATGTTTAAATAAATTAAAACACCCCATTTGATGGCTCAAACTATCTCAAACTTCCCGTATTTGATGATGAAGTCCGCGTGGTTAAAGTGCATTTGTTTAAAGGTTGACCATATAGTTAATCCCAATTTCTTAAAATTTCTTGGATGGTTCAAGTGCCAACCCCCAGCAACCCCTGGTTAAACTCTCCGTTCGAGTCGAGCTACGACTCTTTCGCCTTTGCGAAGCCTGTAGCTTTTGTCTTGCCAGCTGAAGCTCCTTGGAGCTGGTTTACACTAGCAACACCAGGAGATTAAATGACTAGGAATTCTAACAACCAGGTGTTTTACTGAAATCGATTGGGAATCTATTGGAAATTCCAAGAAATGATGCAATATTCCCATTATATAGATGTCTCAATATTGGTGAGAGATCAATTGGGAATTCCAACAATTATCTAAATCTGTTGGTTAAACTTATTGGGATTTCAACATTGATTGGGTGAAATCTGTTGTGTAATTAATTAACACTAACAATTAGATGCAATTGATAAAGATCACCGATGCAATTGAGTTGCCAGGATGTATTTACGAGGTTTTATTATCTTCGAAAAACATGTGCTTACTATAAGTGGCATTGTTAAGTTTGTGGATATGAATCAATTTAACAGTTCGATTTAGATATTTGTTAGATCAGTGTCAATATGAAGTGGGATTTCATGTATTATATATTTGATCAACTTCAGGCCAGTGGCTGATGATGAATGCACTGCCTCTGAAAGCAGTCAGGCACCCAAATCTACTTCAAGAGTTTCTCTTCAACAATCATCACTCAATAATAGCAAACGGCTTGTCCAAAAATAGGATGGCCACAAGCTACTGGTCAATCATAAATTATTCAAACAACCATGTTCTGTGGAACCTATTCAACATATAAGCTTCAGTCAAAACAATTTCATGATGATGGTCCGATGGTTGTGTCAATCCCCTTCAAATATCCCCTTCAAATCCCATATGCGTGGTTGAAAATGCGGTCATTGACCGGTAATGGACCTGGATGCAGACCTGTCCCCACTTGACCACTCCATCAAGTCCTCAGCCAACTTGACCACTTCGGCATGGCCTGCAGCTGGGAGCCATAAAAAAAGGTGGTGAACATTGCCCCAATTCTGAATGGCCATCCAAAAAAAAATATTTAATATATTACATAACATTACATAACCATAAAGTACCTTAAAATACCATCAATTGATGGTATATTCCATCCATGACCATCCCCAAGTTGACCATAAATATCATGGCCGGAGTCTCAAAACTTACATGGCGCCAGCGCCTGGTGCACACTGATCTGCCAACTCATCCATCTCCTCCTGGCGGGGTATACTTCGTCTTGAGGCAAGCCCACATGCGACTGTAATTTGCCATAAGTGATAACTAGCTGGTTAATCTCGAAATTGCCAAGCATGAAAAAGGACATGCAACTACGTAGATATACATGATATATTACACAGTATATGTATATAAATTTGTATATATATATATATTATGTATATAATGCATATACACATATGTAGACAATTCAATTATAGACCTACAGTGATCCCACAAGAAATGCCATCGCACCAGCCCCCGCGACACAGCTGCCGTATCCAGTGCCTTCAGTTGATGCTGGTGAGCGGTCCAGTGTCCTGCCAACTGGTGGCTGAGTTAATTTCTGTAAACAATGAATGGAACATGGTTGCAATCACCATTTCTATGGTTGAACAAATCCAACATAATCCAACTTGATGTTGATCATCATTCCCTTTCTATGGTTGAAAATGGACCATATCTGAAATCATCGAAGACTGTAAGGTTTGCTGCGCAAATGCCATGTTTCATCAAAATTAGTCATATTTAATCGACCATTCAAGTTGCGAAACCTGTATACTGGAAAACAGGAAAGTGGCCAAAAGATGGCAGGATGGGCCAAGCTATCCTTAGAATTGCAGGCCAGTCCTATGCTTGCGCGAACGCCAACCATGAAACTTTGGAATTCATCAGTCTGCTTCTTCAGCTGACCATGCAGTTCTTGGCAAAGACCATATGCCTCACTTCGCCACTTATCTCTGGCCCCTATCGATCAATATAATACCATATAATATATATAATTATATATATACACATAGTTAATTTGAGGTTATTATATTACAACATAACCACAGTACTATGTATATGATTGATTATGATTGTATATGTATATGGTGTATAGATAAACATATTATATATCATATCATAATATACACATAACTTCCAAGGCTGCAAGTGTTTCTGTGACGCAAAGAGATCGGAAGCGATCTCGGACCATGACTCCCTTCAAATCGGCCTGGCAGCCACTGGGCTCAATGGGTCCTATGAGATGATTTGGGGCTCCATTTTAGGACACCTCCAAAAAGGAATTGGATGTCAATGTGCCCAGAATATCTCAGAATGAAATATGATACCTATTGATACCTACATTCTATGAAATATGATTGAGATTTTGAACAAAAACTCAAAATATGTCATGTGCCGCCGCTCCATCCACATAGTTGCCCGATGAATGGTTGACTTATCATTAAACTAGTGCTGTTATGCCCCTACCCAGACATGTGGATCTGTCTCAAGATTGGCTGTCGCAACCCTATCATCATTTTCCTCATCTTTATACTACATTAAAATCATTAAAGTGAATTTTTTGGGATGGCATACTCCAAGATTTCAGGACCAAAATCTCTCGCAGGCCTGTAGATCGAGAATGTCCTGGTCATGCGATCGAAGTTTCCATTGCAAACCAATCGCCTGGAGAGTTCGCCATCCGAAGCAGCGGAAGTTCAAAGCTTTTCATCTTAACCTGATGAGACGCAGTGCGACATCTTCAAGCAAATCTCAAAATGACGTAATTTTCGTTGTAGCCATTTTTGCACAGCCGGACTGACCCACCTTCTTCTCCAGAATTGCCTCGGGATTCCGTAGCAAATAAGATGAACAAACAATCCTGTTGAAATCGAAGCAGTGTCTAACATGTGTCTAAGAAATAGTCATCTAGTGGGTCAAAATCCTGTCAACCTGTCACCAAAACAGCAAAATTTGCTGGGATATGCTGGGATTTATGAATGTTTATCCCGGCAAAAGATGGATGATTATATAGCTCTTGATCTCAGTAACTCACAATAAATCATCACCATAGTGTTGGTTGACTCTCATTAAATCCATTAAGTCCTACCTGGCACTATGGGATTTATAGGTACTCACCAAAGAGTGACCTGCTCCTCAAGCTTTCAGCGCACGGCTCGGCTTGGGAAGCCCCTGCCTTTTCCAGTTCCAAACGCTCGAAATCCTCAGCGATCAACGGGATTTAATGGGACTTCAAGGGATTTAATGGGGTTTAGTGGGAATTAACCACATTTAACCATATGTTTAAAAATATTTAACCATGTTTTTACCACATATGACCATATTTAACCAACATTCTGGTCATTCTGTCAAGGAAAACACTAATCATATCTCCAATGACTCTCACCTTTGAACATCTCATACTGAATTCCATCAGGATCCATCAGCTTCCGAGCACTTTGACTCAGCCGCGTTCAACGTGTTCCGATCCTGAAACGATGTGTTTGAGGCCGGGACAGCTGACTGATGACTCACATCCAATGGCGTCAAGCTGACACCTCCTTGCTGGGAAATGTTGGAAGCTGCAAAACCTGGGTACTTAGAAGTCCTGTGCTTCTGAAGTTTGACCTTGCAATTTTAGCATTCAACATTTTTCAAAGACCCTTCAAATCTTCATCTCCAACTTGGCTCAATGATCCCTCTCTCCCATCTTCATCAGTCCTCCAGAGCCACAAACCTCACAGGGCACAACAGCACTGCATGATGCGATCCATTGCTCCTCAACTCCAACGTGCTGAGCCCTGCTGCCGGACAAACGAACTCCCGCTGCCGGCAGGGGGATGGGGTGTGCCAAAAGCCTGCCACGGCCGACAGGTTCAACTGGTGAAGGAAGCACCAACAACATCAGGACCGTCATTGGAAGAATTCAAGATCAGATGATTGAGAATGACTGAGAATGACGATACTCAGTTGGCATCTTTGTTATAGCTTTCCCACAAGGATCCTGCCGTTTGTCTTATTGGGGTCAATGTTCGCACATGTGGCTTTGTCGGGAAAGGGTCCCCTTGCATCTCATGATTTTCAATCATCATTTCCCATAACTTGGGGTCCCATCCGCCCCTTATTGTTGGGTCGACCCCTTCCATTTTTGCTGGTCAATAACTTTAATCCATACCAAATACCATCAGGCATGTCTTGTTCAATGATGAAATCCCATAGTATCCATCAATGGTAGTTCATCCCCAGCAAATGGATATATAATTAACATTAATTAACTACCGTAGTTTCACATAAAAAAACTCTCCATGGTACGAGTATAATTATTGAATACTAATTAATCATTTCTAATCATCAATAAACAATGACACACACTAACGAACATTAACACTTCTTAACAATCATTAACACTCATTAACCATGATTCATCATTAGATCATCTAATCCAATCTCATCAAATCTAATCATCAACAATCATGGACAATGCTCAATAATGAATAATCCATCCCCACACGTCGCCATATCGCCTCCCAAAGACTTGGTTTCAGAGGCGGACACCGCGCGATGGGCGCCTTGATGTGATGGGGATGGGGGTCGTGTTTCCTATGAAAAACGAGGTACACCTTGTAAATGATCAAACATTGGGTGCACTGCATGATAACGCATCAAAAAGTGGCTGCAAATCATCACAACAACTGGGTATGAAGCATGCAAACTTGGCTATGAACCGGCAACAAAAAGGAGGTATAAACCATGAAAACCATGGGGGTCCATCCAAAAAAGACGTTCCATATCTACACGGAAAATCGGCGGAGATGATGACACGAAGCAATCATAACCAATACCACCAGGGATGTGCCACGGTTTTGATCCATAGATATCCATAGCCATGAAGACCATGAGCGACGGGCTAAGATGAGTTACTAGGATCTCCGCCAAGTCCATCAGTAATTACATCATTCATATTTCGTATATTTCACATTCATCATGTCTCCATCAGTTGTTACATCATTCATTAATATCTCATATACAAATACAGTATACATAATATACGTATATATAATTATATATATACTGTATATATCACATTCATATCACATCATATAACCTCATCACTTCTTAGCTGATCTCTTCTTGGTTCAAGTTTGATCGGAATTTGTGGCACATCCACTGGGTTTCTCCGGCGTCTCAACTCTTTGGCCTCGACGCGGAGATCCTGCAGCACTGCACTGCATGCTTTGCCAATGGAGGTTTAACGGGATATTAATGGGATGTCAATGGGATATCAATGGGATGTTAACGGGATATTAATGGGATATGAACATTACTGGATTAATCGGATATTAGTGGGATATATATATATACATAATATATATATAACTATATATAATATATATATATACATATATATATATATTATATATATATGTTCATGGATATACCCTCCGGTAATCAAACATGGCAATTGGGAATTCCCTGTTCGATGATTTTCCCAATAACACCTCCGTTTAGAGGGAATGTCCAATTGCAATGTTTGATCACCGGAGAGTTTCCCATCACTTTCCCCATCAAGATATGGCAGTGTGTCAAAACCTTGTACCCCTGGTGAACATCAAAATAGCTGGGATTTATGGATGTTCATCCCACAAAAAATGGTATTAATAGGTATTGATCCATAGCCATATCAAGATAAGCCGCTTGACCTCCACACCTTGCCATATGGAGATCTCCCGGTCCTTCAAGGTGACGTTGACCTGTGGATCCGTTTCCTGATGACAGCTCAGATTCACCGAAAGAGATCCCCAAGTGTTGAGCTAAGAAATTACCCATAGGATCCATGGTGCTGGTATATATGCTAACATTTACCATCAATATACCCCAAATGTTAGCATATATACCATACATGGAGCATATGGGTTATAGGCTCCTGCTTTTGTGGCGACTCTTTCTGACCTCTTTTCTTGGCTGGTCTTCTGCCCGCCTCACGCGTCATTGAGTCATGACAACAAGATCAGATTGGACATCAGATTCCATGACTTGGGCAAAACAATTGGAAAATCATCCAACTATATAAATGGGTTATTTTCCATCCAGTTTGATTACCGGAGCTATTCACTAGAGCATCCGGTGTACTTATTTAGAAACTAGGCGCTCTTGCAGGGTGTCGCAGAATTCTCAAATCTTTCATCATTCAATTCATGCTGATGCATGCGGATGCAAATATATGGGCATGAGATGGCATGAGTATGAGTCAAAATTACAACTCCTCAGAAGTGGATGTTTTCAGGAGCCAAATATTGCCATCATATTTCTAATTTTGAAGGTACCCTGACCCATTCCCAATATTCTGGGCCCAAAAGTAGCGTACCCCAAATCCCATCGCTCGATTTTCGCGACTACAATTGACATCAAGTGGTTTATCATATTATTTTCACTCTTGGTTTTTCCAGGTTAATAAGTTAATACTGCCATTCACATAAATTCACATCAATTCACTCTGAAATCCCAGAAAAACTCATGGTTCACACTGCCATCTTTTTCTTGGCGAATAACGAAAGTTAGCCTCTGCTGTCTGGACCGGATCCACCTTGAATCGCCTTTGTTCCAGTGCCAGTACCAAAGCCTTCACCTCGCGGAAGCGCGTTTTTTGTTGGTGTCCTCTCACTTTCTTGAAATTGATACATGTGAAATATCATGTTAGATGATTTTGAAACATTATATTACTGTATATATCTATATAATATATATATATAGTATATTATATATATATTATTATATAGTAATTATATATGTATCATGTTGCTATACATCAATCAATAGTATGCTATATGAATTATCATCATATTGTACATCGTTATACACCGTTTACATTATTGTGTGCCAAAGAAAGATGGGCTTTAAAAACAACTAGCAAACCCCGATGCCGGACATCAGTCGCCTCCCGCTTGATCTCAAACATTGAGCACAGGCTCTTGGTCCATGGCAGTTGCAAGGGTATGATGCTTAAAGAATTCATTGAACTATATTGCATTGAACTGGCGTACTTAATCTTAGATTATCTGAGATTATCTGTCTATCATCTCATCATCTCCAAAAATGACTAGCAATAGCTTGGAATATGTCATAATGTGTCCAAAACTTCTCATGGCATTTAAAACAGCTGGGGCGCTCTGTGTCGTTTCGACGGCCACCGTAACGAGCAAACGAGCGGCAAGTCCAAAGCCAAGGAAACCAGCTTCGATTTTTGAAAATAGGATGCCCAGTGATACCCCCAAACCCCATGGTCTATCTATCTATTATGTATCAATCAATCAAATCAATCAATCAATCTATTCATCCATCGGTGGATCCACCGATCCATCCATCCACATCATTCCACATCTCCATGGCAGTGCTCGGTCTATTGCAACTGGATACGGATACGAGCTGGGTACATTCAATTTCCGGACAAGACATGACAAAACCATTGTTGGAAGCTTTCAGAACATTTCAAGGAATCCGTGGTGCAACTTTGGCACCTTTGTAATGTAGAGCTACTTTGAGCTCCGGGGCATCCCTGGCCCATGTCTGCATGCTAGGAATGGGTCAATTTTTCACCGCTTGAGCTAAGAAAAAAAGGTTTACGCAAGCTTTTTTTGACAAATCTACACAATTGATCTACACAATCTTACATATGTTTGACACATCTATGACAGGTTGGAACCGTTGGGCATTCTACAGAATTTTGACCCAGATCCAGATCTGCCACTAGAAATGTGTCGTCGCACTGCTCCGCAAGCGCCGACGAAGGTCGCCACTCTTGCTCTTGGGCACCATGAAGTCATCCATGGTGAAACTTTGTTCGCCTGGTCAGTTCTATGATCAAACGGGGCAGTGGACCCAAGAAGTTGGTTTCATTCAAGTAATAAACCACCAAAAATAGTGGAAACTAAGCAACAAAAATATATAGTGCAAGTGGCATCGATGATTGCCCGCACTATCTTCGGACAGGCATGCGTCTCCCAAAGATACCAGGTATTCTTTCCCAGAGAGAACTGGTCAATCTGAATTAGAATTCTACTTTTAAGGAGCGGCAGCAGGGGCATAATTGATCAATACTTTGTTCACAAATTTTCGAAACAATCCAAACAAAATATAAAAATGGCACGAACGCACAACCAGCAATTGACAATTCCTAGACCTGTATGGTTGAAAACTGAATATGACCAAATGTGTGGTCCATTCAACCAAACTCTCCGCCCATTGAGCCATGACACCCTTGGCATTTCGACGTCTGGCTTCCACTCCCCAGTCTTTGGCAGCCAAGGCAGAACCAGCAGCAAGCAAACCTGTGGCAACCCAGTCAGGTTCACTATTTCAATGGACTTAACATGGCAGGACCTTCGGTTTTGATGCCATGCGGGGTAAATAAAAACACACATGAGATCCAATTATACCGTTCTATATGATAAAACAGCTCTTATACAAATACCGTACTTCGGGAAACTACATAAATGCAAAGAACCGGCCTCAAGCATTGAAGACAAGCGACTCTGGATTATCATTTCAATCAACAGAGACAACCTTCAACATCATCTTGCCACTCTTGTACTGTTGATGGTAGAGTAATACAATCAAAGCATGTTGCCACTCTTCAACATCTAAAATCCTTGACCAATCATCATAAACGGATTAATAATATTAGATAGACACAATATGCAGTATCCTGTAGTATTACATTCTATCACATTTTAACATAATATTTCATGTAAGATCAACTGCCAGGTTGTTCTGCGATTCATCCGCGCTGCTTTATCCGCACCTCCAATCTTTTGCAACGTCATCCTCAGCGCTTTCACACTGAGGTGTACGGCGTGCGCCGCAGCACGCTGCGCCACATCATCAGGGTGGGATTCAGCTGGAGAGCTTTCCATGTCCGAAGCTGTGCCTGGTTTCTTCGTTTTTGAGACATGGACATGGTAGCATACTCATAGACAATCTTAAAACATCTTAAAACCGTATAAACTATACATTATTACGACTCAATTTCAAAAAGCTTATGGGTATCATAAAACACCATGAACCTATAATATAAGCAATCATTGAACAGTCCTTTGGGATTCACCGTGTTGCATCATGTTATGATACCTGGCAAACTGAATGCAACCTGATATATAGAAATATATAGAATATATATATATATATAGAATATATTAGAATATATATATGATAATATAATATATAATATGTAATATATATAATATATAATAATAATATATATATATATATATACACATACATTATAATTATATATATAATAATTATAATATATATATATATATATTTAAGTTTTCGGAGTTGTGGGTTGACGAGGATTCTCATACAGTAATGGAATGCAAGTCATGCCCACTCAATATCATTGCATAAATGTCTCTGGTTGGTGGCTTCAACCCCCTGAACAATATTTGTCAAGAGGGACCATCATTAAAGGAAAATAATGTAGGTTTGAAACCACCAACTAGTACCTTCCTCTAAACTAACATAGATGTGGAAAACCCACCATTTGCACATAATTTTCCAAATGGGAAACCATGGGTTTCCACATCTTACTACCCTAGGGTATATCATAATGACCATCAGCCGACAGGGCTTGAAGGCTTCCATTCCCGACCTTCTGCAGCATCCCCTTGAAGCATGTTACCTTGCAAACGTGGCGGAGAGTGTGGTGGTAAACCCGATCAGCACCCTTCCCCTTCTGTTTATTCTGTTCACATCAAAATAACCGGGAAAAACACAGGGTTTATATGGGTTTATCCTATCCCCATGTGAGTGGCGGACAAAATTACGTACTACTCGCAATGGACATGGCCAAAGTGGGTGGTCCCCTATCGTTTGTGAAGGTGCCACTGTAGGTCTAGTGAGTCTAGTTGTTGCTGTGAGGTGCTCTTGTCTGCGTTTTCCCATCTGAGGCAGCAAGATTCCAACTGGGATAGTTAGTACTTAGTACATACTGTGGATGGAAGAAATCCTGCACCAGTTGATAGATGGTTTATCCCATTATTTATAGGGTTTCAACCATCCAAGGTGGTGCAGGATTTCTTCCATCCACAGTATGTTAGTACTCAGTACACTATTACAAACGAACCAAAATCTGTGGTCCATGTGAATTACCAGCGCGCACAAGGATTTCACACCAAGCGACAAATACTTTGGGATGAGATCCCCATTTCCGGAGAGTCCCTCTTGGAGCCCTCCAACAGATGGTGAAGTTCGCGATGCAGGGAGTCCTCAAGTCAGCGAAGTCTGGTTGTTTTTTTCTCATAGATCTTGGATCAGGCCCCACTGACCCGAAGTCAGCCAGCAGTTGATTTTTCCTGACTTGGGAAGCCACTTTTGCACATAAAATAATTCATATATATATAATTATATATATACAATATATATATACACAATATATATATATAATTATATATATATACAATATATATATATATACACAATATATATATATATAATATATATATATAAATACCCTATTTTCTGCGAGATTCATCCAAGCCCTGCAGCACCAGCTTGATGGCTCGGACGAAGGTGTGGCATCTTTCAACCACGCTCTTGGGCAGATCCCGCACAATCTTTGCAGCCAACTCCGGGTCACAGCGACTGCCACTGTTCTGCACAGCATTCAGCCAGACGTAGACCTGACAGGTGCAGTGAGCGATAGAAAAAGGGGAGATGCTTAACGATGATGAATGATGGTTAAGGGATGTTAAGGGCAAGTGACCATCTCAGCTTTGCAGCTTGAAGAGCTTGAAGCTCTACCAAAAATCCATCAAAATCCCAGAGAAATCATCAAATCCCAACACCGGAGCATCCCGCACCTCGTCAAAGTGATCCAGCAGTGCGGGCACCGATTCGGCCTGCGTTGCCATGTGGCGAAGCCGCGAAGTGATGAGGTCAACTGGGGCCAGTCACCAGCTGGTTAGACAATTTGAAAGACTGTAGTGATATGTAAAATCACAGGAAGTTGCTCCGACCATCTCCACAATTCATCAGAATTCACCGATTTCAACATATTTCAAGTATCATCACTGGATATATCACACTTCTCTGGCATTGTCTGAAACTAGGTTGCCCCAATAGTTCCGCTTTTTACACCTTCGCAACCAGGATCCCATGGCGACCTTGTAGGCATTCTTCCAGAGTCTCGTCCACACCAAGCCTGGCGGTTTGGTGGGACCTGCTGCGAATGGGGCATCAATAAATGCACGTGGCCATGGCAAAACAAACAAATTGTCAAATTGTGTTAGTTTCATGAGTTTCAGGAAACATTCTCAAAAAAAACTGTCTTCCTGTGAGTTTCATGGACTAAAGTTGAGAAAAGATCAGAAGGGTAGAAACTGATACGCTTGCCATTGCAAAGATGGAGATGCATCACACAGCGAGGGATGCGCAATTCACGTTGTGGCGGAGTTGGGAGATAAGATATGATGCCTCTTGGATGCGAATCAGAAAGTGTATTGGATGTCATCTGGGGTAGTTCATGCATATTTGATCATATTTGCATACTCACTGCGTATTCATCATTGTGTGCATGTCCCTTCATCCTTGGGTGTATCAAGGGAGTTTCGAGGCGCCATTGCTGGCCTTCCTTCTGGATCTCAGAGTCCCAGAAGCGAGCGTCCTCACGCACTGCATCAATCCACAAGATTGGCATAGATTATAATATGATATATGGTAATATATATATATTATATTATAATACCTATATATATATTATATGTAGTATACCCTAAGGCTCCTGGTTACTTGTATTTTAGGTAACTGGCCCTCAGCGACAACATCTTCCGGAACTAGCCTCCCAGCGAGGAACCAGTACCTCATAGGTATGGTTTTGCACCTTATTTGACAAGACCCCACAGCGCGCGTTTTATCCTTTTCTTGAATCAAACCCTAATTTTTGAGGTTTCGCTGCTTGCAGTTTGAGCATGCAGCGTCTCAAAACACGAATTGCCATTCCTGGGCCTTGGGTATGAAAGACAATGGCCTTCAGGTGGCCCATAAAATCCTCCCCTCCATAGTTGTGAAACATTCTCGGATTGTATTGTTCCGTTTTACAATCACAAGAAATATGATCCAGCTGGTGGATCTTTGGAATAGCCAGCCACCTAAGCTTTTTTTGTACACAAGAAACCCAACCAGCCGTGTCATACAACACACAGCACTGTAATCCCAGATCACGAAGTTGTTGGCCCTGCTCTGCACTGAGGTAGCCAGGAAATAATTCCAAAAGCCTTTGCCATTCTGCAAAGCTACACCTCATATCGTGATGACAATTTGAACATTTTATGTGTGTGTGAAAAGCTTCTTTATTTGTATTGTTCCGTTGAGGGTGGTTCCCTGTTAAAACCCCTTAAGACTGGAGGATCATCCCACTTAGTAGCTGGATAGCAAGAAGCTTTAGTGGAGTTCAATTGAAGTATTTGATGGCTTATTCACCAAATAGTTATGATGAATTGCTGATAGGGTGTAATCCTCCAATGATGGTGCTCATTGATCCAGGGGATTGCACTGTTAAAACCCACCAAGAAACACAGCAGCCATTCCAGCAGAAACAAATTGCACCCGTTGTGAGAAATCTTGCTCGCTCTCGCCCGCCACACGTGTAAGCATCACATTTTGGTTGGCACTAAGGGTATCCTGAGTGTCTCATGGGGCCTCAAATAGATAATAATGTTTACACAAAAGAATCCAACAACAATGTCACAAAGAAAAATAATTACTGAGAACCAAATACACATTTACTACCAAATTGATCCAAATTGTTGAAAGAGTCGGCCAAGAATGCCAAGATTACCCGTCCATTGAATGCTTTCGTCAACATTAATGGAAACTGTGGAACTCCTTTTGCATCCTGAAGGTGAAGATTTTTTGTTTTCCATCTGCGTTGAGATGATTGAATCTTGTGAGCAGAGCACCACGCTTTAAACTGATTAAACAAATCATCAAGCGCGTTCGCCAAACAACACCCGTGACGGAGCTGAAGATCCTCTGCTAGTAGAAGCAACCCCTCTGCAAGGATAACATGGAGGAGACCAAGGTTGAGCACGTGCATAATACAATGTCGCCTAAGCAAATGCTGTTGCCGGGGGCTAATTTGCCAATATTAAGTTCCCCAAAGTTGATACTAAAATACAAGTAACCAGGAGCCTTAGGGTGTAGATATAGCCGCAGAGACCCTTCAAAACAAAAAGTATAAATACTTTGGGAAATTAACCACACAGGAAAATACAGGCCCAAGGTGCAACATGCTAACATGAAACCCTACGAGGTGAATCAAGGGAGGCTGCGGATTGGGAAGACATTCTTGTATGAATTCTGCTGTGGTTCGAAGTTGCCAGCCACCAAATTGCGTAAATAGTTGCCCAAACCTCCCAGGGGTTGCCATCACAGAATCCACCATAACAAATTTGGGTATTATTGAATTGTGTAAGGGCCCGTGTTTGCTTTTAAAACTACAATCTCAATACATTAGAGGCACGGCATCACATGATGTGGGTTTGTCTTGAAATTTGGAAAGTATGACCATATGAATAGGGTCGTCTTGATATAACCATATTACCCATAACCATTAATTTGGGGGAATATTATTTTCATATCAAGAAGGTTTTTTCAATCCTGATGCCTGGGAAGACGAGCAGCCTTGCAACGGTGGCAGGTTCGCCCAGTTTTCCAGTAACAATTCCATAAGGAAAAGATTTCAACTAGCCATTTCCAATCACCTTTCACTTGAGTAACTGCAAATTTTATGGCTAGCTTTGTTCCAGCCAGTTTTGTTTCCTTCCGCCCCAGTTCAAATCCAGATTCATCAGCCAGAGCCACTGTAGGGCGGCACCCTTGTAGAGCAATGTTTAAGCTCCATGTTGCCCTCTCCAAGATGGGACGCAACGTCTCCTTACCAGCAGCAGTTGGCCCTACAAACTAGGGACCAAGTAATTATGCAGTATTAATATGAAGTAATTTTATTTTAGAGTTATGGGTCACTAGACAACTAAATTACATACAAACACAGGAAACACAGCCGGTTTCTGATAGCAATGGGACCTTCCTGCACCATGTTCCCCGAGGCAGGGGCACATTGTTGGGAATAAGGGGTGGTTCATAATTGGAAAGCCCAGAATCTTTACCACCAGCTCCCACGAGAATACCAGTTTCAACGATGAAGAACAAAAAATTGGATTTCCACGCAGCGCCTGGTTGGGTTGAAGCTATACTTTTTGTTAGCCGTTTTCAAAACAATGTTCCCTTAATAATCACATTTGGGGGAAGGATGCAAAAACTTTGACAGTTAACCCAGCGTAAGAAACCTTGTTTCCAGACAAGGGGAGATTGCAAAGCTAGGGCAGTGAACTTGTCCAAATATGTGTTGCTAAACTTTGCATCATCGCCGTACAGTGCGATTGGTAATGCACAGTTTTTCCCAGGATGTGAGCGAGCCCATTCCTGCAGTACTGAAAAATGTTGCCAGTATTTCCTTAGTATCCAAAAGCTGGTGGGCACAGATTAGATGCATCACCTAATAAGGGGCCTCAATTATACTCCCAAACAAAATATGATGTTTATTCAAAATGAGGGTCTGAATCTCTTCGAAGGGGACTCTGATATGGTCATTTCTCCACAAATAATCTAAAAGTTCGTGGGGGTCAAACATTCCAAGTTTGCGCATCTCCACATTGTCTCCCCCGGGCTCTGTCCGCACAGCGCATTCACAATATACAATGTCCAAAGGACATGGCATGAACCTGAATAGATCTCTGTTGGCATTGTTGGATTTGATTTTCGCTAGCTTCCGTGTTATAGGATGCACGTTTGATTCACCAGCTTCCTGCACAGGGAACTCCCCCAAAAATACTAATTATTTAAAAATATTGGGGTGAATCAACTTCTCAAAATTCAATGGTAAAGCCTCAAAAAATTGCCCAATACCATGTGGCCTTTACCATAGCTGATGCAGCAGCTGCTGCACTTCTAGCACTCTCACGACCAGTGCCCACATTGCTAAGCCTACAGGGGACTCAAACATTTAGTGAAAGAATAAACAAAAAATATTGTGCTTTTTTTCCTACAATGCCCTTAGATCCCATCAGCCATGGCACAGGTGAGCTGCATAGTCAACTGGTTTCGCTGCGCTCGGCTTCTCAGAACCTGCGTGGGTTTTGGATGTCGATATGGTGCTTAAACTACGAGTATTACTATTAAATGATATCCACCTGGTTGGTGAGCCTAGCTCTGTTGGTCACCAATTGGAGAAATTTCACTGCTAGCACTTAGATGTGAGGTAGATAGGCCGAAATGAAAAAACAAAGCAGCTATTTTCTCCGCTTGCTGTCAGCATGTGGAGGCACACGCAAACCATCAGGTTCTGATACGACATGTGACCAGGGTTCCCCTGAGCCCATTGGAATAGTTGCCCAAGGATATCTATCTGGTCCAGAGCCGCTTTCAAGATATGTATTGTGATCCATTATTAGATCAATTGCAACCATGTGGTGTTGCGCAATGGCCTCCAAACCCCCAAAAAATATGGTCATGTTTTGAAACCTGTAACATGGGAAAGCCGATGCACACACCATCCATTGGCGCGTACCCCAAAAAAGTTGGCAAGCAAAAGCTGCACTTTCACTTAAGCTCCTGCTTTTGCAGTTTTAGCTTTGGCCTTGGCCTTCGCCTTTGAAAACAAACGCTTCACAGTGTCAACCACCTTTTTCACTGACTTCAGCTCGGCATCCAAAGCCTGGTGGGCAAGGTGGTTTCTGGATAGTCAATACCACCAAAAAAATAAAAAACACACATTGTTGGATTACAGATATTTCATGGATGAAACATTCAGATTTTATTTTGCAATCATGATGGATTTCCACAATAATAAGATTGTCCCGATGTTGGCGCTCATTCAGCCGGGTTGCATCGAAAGTTGGTACGATGTCCTGCTTCTTGACGAGGTTCTGGACTGCAGTGGCCTTCTGCTTGTCGAGCGACTTCGAAGAGGCCTGAAGATCTCGCATCAAAGCTTCCTTGAAGTGTTCACTCCTGGGCGGAGAATGAAGAGACCTAGCGACTTGATGATCAGATAATGTGGGACCATAGTGGGACTGATGGCTCAAGTTTTTTTATTTTTTGGGCAAGGCACACCACAGTAACTGGCGCTACGTGCAGCTTCACTTCCATTTCCTTCAAGTCGGTCAAGAGCTTGTGGGCCGTATTGTTGGCCTCAATTCCCAAACATATAGATAGATAGATATATAGATAGATAGATAGATAAATAGATAGATAGATAGACAGATAGATAGATAGATATAGATAGATATAGATAGGTATAGATAGATATAGATCGATATAGATAGATAAAGATAGATGTAGATAGATAGAGAGAGATAGATATAGAAATAAATAGAAATAGATAGATAGAGATAGAAATATATAGATATAGATAAATATAGTTAGATATAAATAGATATAGACATAGATATATATATATATAGGTAGATATGTATATATAAAGATAGATAGATATTTATAAAGGCCTATATGTATTTATTATTATATATATTAAATTATCAAATTATTTTTATATGTATGCATATTAGATATACATCTTATCGGTAACCCCAACCTAGTGAATCCCACATGATGGCAGGAAACTTGTGACAGCTTCTGCTCAGGCGTCTTCTCCTTCGGAGCAGCAGCATTGGTGGGAGTCTTGATGCGACGCGTTGGCATACCTGGTCCAACATCAGCATCCTCCATGGCTGTATTCCTTGGCAAGGGGCTGAATGGTATTAACATTAGGATGAAAAAAATGGGGTTCTAAAATATCTGAAATGTTGCTAACAAGAATAACTATTGGGGCTTAGGTTCAAAGCATCATGCCAATCCTCCTCATCAACATCAGCATCTCGTTGGAGAGTAGTGGACGTCTTGAGGTTCGTCTTTTTGGCTTCACTGTGGGACACAAAAACTTTATATCTCCACAATTCCTCACGATCTGGGAAATCAGGATGCCTCAGATTAAGAGAGCAAACGGTGTTGGAAAATTCCCAGTTGTCTCAACATACAGTGTGTGAACATGTTTTATACTAGCCAGAAGCGATGAGATACGGTTTAATGTACTTGTTCTTCATCTTGGATGGCAATCTGTTCTCGGCATCCTTGTGCCTGCTGATGAGGTCATCTGCCAATTCTTCTGTCCCAAGCTCCCGGATCAGGCCTGACCTGGGAAGGAACTGGTAGAGCTCCTGGTGCTCAGATTCATGGCTTTTGGTTGCAGTGACAACCAACTGGCACTTGTTCCAAACGCCACGGCATGACAGGAACTGCATGTACAAGTCGTGCATCTTGTTGTTCTTCCCATCTTTGCCTAGCCGGCATGAGGTACAGTAGTAGAGATACGATTGGGCAACCTTGAATATATCAGATATTATAAATATAATCAGGCCCATGTAGTTTACTATAATATATTTAGGAGGTGCTGGAACTCTCAATGTCTAGTTGCTGGTTTCTGCTTCGATCTTCTTCTGGGCGATTTCTTCAGGAACTGGGTTCTTGGTACCTCGGCTGTTCCCCACTGTGATGAAAACACCAAGCAAGTAACCAACCGAGATTCACAAAAGGCATCTTCAACATTTTTTTGAATAGTTATTAGCCATGATACTCCTGATGCTTCTGTAGAAACGCATGTACAATGCTGGTGGGCTCAGGGGATTCCCATGCTTGTCCAGCCGCCACTTATCCCCGGTCCCATTCTCCACATCCTCTGCAGGTTCAGCCCCTTCCTGCTGGTCGACTTCTTGGCCATCAGTGTTGGGGGTCTCAGGCGTTTCACCGGCCTCACTTGCGGCAGATGCCACACTGACCCAGGAAGGCATGCGATTTGCCAGGGTTGACCTGATATCAGGACTGGTGGTCTCCTCCATGTCCGATGGTGATGGGACACGTGGGCTGTGAGCATCCCCACTGCCATAATCCCAAGTGGATTTTCTATCCACAACCCAACTTTGGGGGCCCCAACAGTAGACATCTCTGTTCTTCCATGAATCATAATACCAAGTGGGTCCACCATAGCAATCCCAGTTGGACCACCAGCTTTCACCCCTGGACCCAAAGTAGTCACGTTGGCTGTCGTACCAGGGTTCTTCCTCTGTTTCCCACCCGAGTTGTTTTGGTTCAACAGGGCTGGTAGCCAAAGAGGTATCAGCGGTGGAAATGGTATCAGGCGGAGTGGCTGTGACTGCGTGTTCCTTGACAGGGGGTGTCGTCAAGTGCATAGCGCTGCTTGTGTCCCTGCCAGGTGCTTTGGGGGTGTCAGGCAAACTTGACTCCAAGCTCTCCTTGGAAATTGTTTTCGGTGGTGGAGGTTTGATTGACAACCCTGGGGGTGCTTTTGGTGGGATCTGCGGTGCCTTTGCTGCCACTGCTGGTGCACATGCTGCTGCCGATTCCAACCGCTTGTTCTTTGCTTTCTGCAGGACATCTTTGACCCTATCAAAAGCAGAAGATGCCTTAGCAGGTGTGCTTGAGGTCACAGCAGGGGTGGGAGGCGCTGCTTTGACTGGTGCGATTGCAGGGCTTGGGGGCGCTGCTGGGGAAGCTTTCACCGGTGTCACGGTTGGAGAGGCTACTGAAGAAGCTTTTGCTGGGGGTGGGGCTGTAATTCTACCTGGAGACTTTCCCCTCACCCGCACAGAAGGCATTGCCTTTGACTCACAAACAGCCTTGGGTGGTGAACTGCTAGGTTCCGGTGTCACGCCAGGTTTGGCCTTGACACGAACTGGCTCATCAGTAGTGACATCAGTGTCGTTCTTCCTCTTACTCTTTGCTACTCTGGCTTTGGCTAGGTAGTCTTGTGCCGCATTTGGATTGGCTAATGCCTGTGGAGGTGGTTGTGCTGCAACCTTCTTTGGCCTTCCCATGGCTCCTGGTATGTTTTGAAATGGCATCAACTTGAAAAAAATATAGCAAATTTGGAATTCACGGTTCCAATTTGAATTTAACGGTTCCAGGCCTTTTTTAACGGTTCCAGCCCTAAATTTAACGGTTCCAATGGGAAATTTAACGGTTCCAAATCGAGCACCCTGAAAACACCCTGAAACTCCTGGATCAAAACGATCTCCACCAAGGGCAACTTGAGCCTGCAAACACCTTTGGTTCATTGGACATGGGAAACAGGATGCCAATTGGAACCATGATGATTCATGACGATTACACAGAACATCAAAGAACCATCATGTCATGCTGCATAGGCACTTGAGAAAGCAGTTCAATATTTTCCAGATCCCCGCTATGTGATTGCACCACATTGTTTGAGGTGACACTCCAAGACTGTCAGCCCGAATGTTCCCCAAAATGGGTGATTTAATTAATGTGGTCAACAGGCCTAACAACCAGCCACATTTGAATTTGAAACCACATATTGTTGAGAAAACTAGCCCTGCTTCCTTTTGATGCAGGGGGCGTTCAAATGCTTGAAATAAATATCAACTTCATGTGCTGCCAGTGGTTCAATGCGCAGCGGCAACGTGTCCCGAGGCTTGAAGGCGCCCAGTGCGATCTCACTCTTAAGGAAGTCCAGCACAGGAGCCTGGTTGGGTCCAAGCTGTGGGTGTGAAATGAATATTACCTTCATTACAAAGACGATCCAATCTGTAAGTTTTTATTTGCTCTACTTGCATCAAAGAAGCAAGGTCAGCATCGTCCCATAGGTCAGGGCGTGCCTTGGGTGACATAAAGCCAAGGCAGATCTAATAAGTCATGTTGGCTGTTAATATATTTATGATAATTAATTACCAAGCTACAAATGCATGCGGGCCATGGGATCGATATTCTGCATCTGGCAAAGGAGAAGTCATTTTGGGATCCTGAGTAAGCGCTAGCTCTCGGTGTGGCTATATGGGGCTGCAAGAATATTTATATTTAAAATGTTGGTATATACGATGTCCATATGGATTCGAATCTATATTGCATGTTTAATCCAAGTTTCCAAGCAATATAGTTTGTGGTGATTGATAACCCGGTCGCAAAAACGAGTAGGATAGGTTTGGGTCATCTTCAAGCCCGGTCCTCCAGACCTGGGCAGCGGCATGAATAAATATGGTATTGGATCGGGGTTGAACAAGTAAATTCTGATATTTATGAAATCCATTTGCTGAAATCAAAATTGTTAAGGGTGCAATTGGATATAGCCTAGCTACACGTTCGCCTTCTTGCCATTCCTCTTGGTGATTTTGGTATTTCCCGCAGAATTCCAATTGTGCCTCTCCCGGTCACGATCAGTAACCCTTGCCGCCACGTTGAACATAGGAATCCATACCCTGAGTGGGACACGGGCAGAATTTAATATTCGGTTTCAATCTCTGCAATAAAATGGTTTTATTTTGTTATGGGCCAAGTAGCGATGATCCAAAAATCACCGTTCTCTTTAACGAACGATGTCCAAGAAGTCCCATCCAACTCAGATGCCAGCAAACAATATTGATCAAAATATAGAAGAAAGAATCAAACGTTCTACACATGAATCAGGTCACCCCATGCATGATACCCTGTGACATCAGGCCAGCTAAGAGCAAACGAGGGGCAACTTCTGGATCAAGGCCGCTGGGAAACCCCGGAGATAGATGTTGGCATTCATCACCGTTTCAAGGTATGGCAGAAACAGTGCCACAGTTGAGGATGGTTGCTCCCCACACCAAAAGACTTCTCTGACCAGGCATAGAATTGCTATGAGACTGAATCTGCATGCCAGCATGTTGGCAATCTTGACACAGTCATGAGCCATAGACCCTCTAGGGTTCTTACGTGTTTTCTTGCTGGTTCCACGACTAATCCATACGTGCATACCGCACGGCAATCCTGACCATAGAAGTCCCCCCCGCACAATGCGGAGCACATATTGCAGGCATACCATCCATCCCAACCTCAAGACGGGGCCCAATGGGCGGAGGATTTAATAATATGTTCCCTTGTAGGTTTCAAAAAATTGAGTGAAATCCACATTCAAATGACCAGCAAATTGCACAGTTGTTTTAAAATCATTGAGCTCAGAACACTGTAGTCAAATCCATATTATGCTCATCTAGGTCCACGTCGTACTTGGTAGCTGTCATTCCCCGACGACCTTATTTCAATCAAGATACCGGCTTCAAATATTGTTTTCAAATACCATTCCGTGGGCCACCTATTCCCCAAAGTGAAATAGTAATCTGATGCATCATACGACATAAATTTAAATTTTGGTTTGCTTTGGGACTAGTTGCCCCACAGATATTAACTATCTCCACCAGCAGTTCATCTGATAAGACTTCTACGCGCTGCTCGGTGGATGCCACCTGTTCCACAAAACAGGTCGAAGACCGTCACATCCTGAGCGAGGATCAGGACTTATGGGCTATAACTCAAGATGTGGGGGCGAATGCAAAAACTATAGAGTATTTATATATATTTAAATATGATTGAATTTAACCAAGCTTCTCTTTTGAATCTCCTGCTGGAAGTGCTTACAACGTAGTCCAGGCTATGTACCCTGAAGCCAGCACATGTTGAAAGAAGTTGGAAAATTGAAAAACTTAATCAACAACGATCTGCATAGAATTCCATTCATCTTTATTTGCAACCAGAGAACAGAATTGGGCTGGCCCCCAGTGCAAGTAGGAGGGCTACTTCCACCGGTGTCAAGGGTTGAAACACCATGCCAGGCCACAACGTGTCAGGGAGGTGTTGGGGCTGTCTAGGCTGTCTCACCACTAGGTAGCCGAAATACCAGCAATCAGATCATAGAGGAATAATTAATCTGATGAATTTGTCAATACCAAATTCAGAATAACTTTTGAACTCATCAGCCATGTTTTTTTTTAGCCGTCATGATTTTTGTAACACACCCGATGCACATCAGCATGAATGGCCATCCACACACATATATTTGGTGGTGTGGAGAAATCGGACCAATTCAGGCCATGTGTTTCACCCAAGACCCATGTTGCTCCTGACATAGGCTACGATTTCACTGCACCAAAAGCACCTGTGAATCACTCGACCCATAAGCACCTATAATTAACAGGGTGAACCAATAACCAGAAGAGAATCGGGAACTAGAAAAAACCTTGGGATTTTTGTGGATTTTTGGTGATCATTAATGGTGCACGGCAGTGTTCAGCCAGGAGCATGGAATCAACACCTCAGCTGCTCGAGCTCCTTAGGAGCCAGCGTTGGGACCCTCAGAGCCAGGATTGGCAAGCAGGAACGATTTCTGTTGAAGCTTGACTCGGGCATCGCAGAAGGCAGCGCAAGATTCCGTGAAGCCCATTCCGCCTTCAAGGTCATTGGCCTCCATCAAAATAAATCAACAAGTTTAATCTAAAATTCAAGACAGGCTGATTTTTGAATGCGACATATAACTGTACTTCTCTAAATGTTTATTCTACTTTTCTATATTAATCACTGTATGCACATATCACATCCAGGACAGCCCCACCAGCTTGTTGCACACTTGCACGATCTCGAACATCTTGATATTTGGCATATCGGCACTGTTGATGAAGCCAACCTGCGGAAGTCGAGAAAAATAATAATTTCTCAGTTTTGTGCTTCACATTGGATTCTGATAAGTAGGCACCTCCTTTTTCTTCATCCCGGGCATAGCCTTCATCTCCACACCCACATTCCCAGTGGTCCAGTATGGAGTCACCTGCATGGATGTCATGACAACATGTAATATTATCCTGTGTAATCACCTGAAGGCCTTGTAGTGCTGCAGGGAAGGAATGGTTGCCTTGATGCGCTCCTCTTCTTCGGCATCTGCCAGTGGCGGAATGGATGACCATGCATGTATCCCAACAAATCAGAACAGCATCGAACATATTTATATAACTAACGGGAAAAAAACTGCTGAATATGTCACAACACTTTGGTGTGCCTATGACATGTGCTTTCTTCTGCTTTCGGGCCCGGGGCTTCTGAGAAGGTTCATCATGTCCATCCAACTTGTTATCCTCTACTGACTCGGGCGTCCTTTTGCAACCTGACTTGTTTTCATGTTTCTGCTTCTTGGCCACAGAACTGGATGCTGCCGATGGTTCCTTCGGCTCAAGTTCTTCCTTTGGACGTTTTGTCCCACCCCTGCCACGGCCACGGCCGCGGCCCTTCCCGCGTCCACGACCGCTTGGTTCTTCACCCTTCTCCTGATGATCTTTGCGTGCTCGACTTCGCCTGCAGCACAACAACTTAAGCTCACTTGATTACAGTAAATACTTTGCTATTTTGAGGGTTGTGGTATGAACATAAAATTGGGCCTAGTGACAATTTCGCTTGTTCAGCCAGAAGGTCATGTGAATGCTGACTGAGATCGATTTCATCCAGTGTTAGGCCAGCTAAGACTTCATGCAGATCAGGCGGATCAGACACCAATGGGCTCCTGTCCTCATCAAGACAATGAATCACCAAAAAATATTGACTCAGTTTGTTAAATACTCGAGTATCCATAAACTAGGCTGGTTTCACGAAGACCGTATTTGGCAAGTATCAGCTTCGCATGGCCTAGGCTTGGGAGACACCTTGTCCTGCACAGGCGAAAGGCCGGGTAGGGGTATCAAAGCTGTGAGGAGGAGGTAGCTGCCAAATAGTTTAAGTTATCCAGCCTTTGTTTCCTCACCAGGGGAAGTACCATTTTCTGCTTCCTCAGCCTGAGAATCATGAAAAACAAAATTGGCTAGGTATTGGATGGTGGATGTACTTAAGAAGTGTTTGTAACACGCCTTCTCCAGGGCATCCTCAAGTGGAGGCTCCACAGCCTGGGAATCATGAAAAACATAGCTGGCTAGATCTTGGTTGGTGGATGAACTTGGGAAGTATTTATAACACGCCTTCTCCAGGGCATCATCAAATGCAGGCTCCACAGCCTGGGAATCATGAAAAACATAGCTGGCTAGGTCTTGGTTGGTGGATGAACTTGGGAAGTGCTTACAACAGGCCTCCTGCTGGGTATCCTCAAGTGCGGACTCCACAGCCTGGGAATCATGAAAAATATACAGTTGACTAGGTCTTGGTTGGTGGATGAACTTGGGAAGTACTTACAACACGCCTCCTGCAGGGCATCCTCAAGTGCGGACTCCACGTGTACCTTGAAGAGATTGTGGGACCACGGCTTCAATCCATGATGAAATAAATATTAGAAAACATAAAAGAGCATTTTCAATGCATGTATTTTCTTAACATGACCCGATCTAGCCAAAAAATTCCCACCTCGCCAGGGCAACCTGCACCAGCTTCGGATGCAGCATCGGCCTGTACAAGGACTACTGTGGCTGAAGGGGTACGCTGAAACTATTCTCAAATAATTAATAGATGCTGTTGCTCATAAAAATAAAATCCTATATGTGCGAAGTTGTGCAGCAGCCTCCACCAAGGGATTCGCAGACGATGGCTCTTCGATGCTTGGGGTCACCTGACCATATCAATATCATGAATAACCGCTAGACTGATTAAATGAATATTCAAACCATGCTGGGCACACATCGCATGTAGGCATGGAAGAAAGGTCCCCATCAGCTTCGGACATTTCAGACCAATCCTGCAACGCACATGAATATACAGATACTATGTCATCGTATACACCTCCATTCCTGAAAGAAATTGTCAACACAAATTTAAATAGATAACACCCAGAAACGGTCCTGCTTGGTTGTCCACCTTTTCAATGATGACTTTGGAACATCGGGGTTGGGCGGCCACATGGGTAAAGTAGGCATGTTGTCAATTTCGGACCCTGCTGTACCACCCTCCCCAGAAGCCAATGCATCGGCCACAGCCATAGGGTCAGAACAACCAGGGTCAAGAGACTCAGCGACCTCATGCGCGTTGCCTGCATCAGCAGAAACCTCATGCGTACTGCTTGCATCAGCACTTGTCATTGCGACCTCATTAGCGCTGCCTGCATCAGCAGAAACCTCATGCGTACTGCTCGCATCAGCACTTTCCCCAGCCACAGCTGCCCCACTTGTGGTATCTCCATCTCCAGAAGCGTCACCTGAAAGCACATGTAGTTCCATGAGACCGGTCACTATTTGGCTAGGTATGTACATGCACACATGAAAATAAAATATTTTGCCACACTGAAGGCCTGCGTTCGTTTGATCATCCTGTAGATACATTTCATTCAAGATGTCCTTGATCAGCTGCACCGCCTCTGACCTTATTACAAGTTTACTAGGCAAAACAAATACACAATAACCACATGTAGCAACACAAGGTGATAAAATGTCAGGTTGAAACATTTCAGACTTGGTACTTTGATCGGTAGGGTGTTTTCCGCCACAATCTCACAACATAAGTTGCATGAAGGCGTAGCACTGCAGCCTGATAGTCAGCCCAGCTGTCAACATCCTTTTTCAACGAGTCTGTTGGCCATAGCGCGTGAAGATCAGAGACGTAGATGAAAGCTGCCTCCCAAGAGAGGTCGCATTATAGTCGTATTATATTAAATAATTAGCAGAAAATTGTGTGGAAGTGCCAGGTGATTATAAGTTAACGAGAATCTGATGGCCCCACCTTGAACTTCGAACCATTTGGGAACTTAATCCCAAGATTCTTCAGTTGGGTCCACCGTTGCAGTCGAAACAAAGTTATGTTGTGGGTCTGCACGGATTTCCTTCAAGCCAAGTGTGTTCGCCCAGTCCGTCATCAAGGCTATCAAGAAGCCAAGCCTCAGATGATCACTTAAATAAGATCAATCTATATTTTTTGTACCTGCAGTCTGACTGACCCCTAACATGGCTGACCCTGAGCTATATCAATCTATAAGATCAATCTATATATGTTTTTTACCTGCAGTCTGACTGACCCCTAACATGGCTGACCCTGAGCTATTAATATGATTACAAGAAACTCCTCATCGTGTTGCCCTGCTTCCCCCATTGCACTGGCTCCAGGAGAAAACGATGAGAGCTAAAGAGCTAGCAGCAAACGGCTCTGGTAAAAAAGCTGTGGATGCATATATGGTCATGCGGTGCATGCTCAGCTAGGCAAGTCAGGGGAGGCACCTGAAGATAATTCACGATGGCGCCATGCAGCAGCAGCCCGTTTGAGGGACATCTTTTGGGCCCAAAAACTTCAGATTCCCATGATTATGTTTGATTATAGTGCTTTCATCCTGAACTATTTGAATTTACTTGATTAACATCCATCCAATCTTCTTGATGGCTTTCAACTAGATACCTGGTTCCAGGAACCAACTCTGGTAACCTCTAAGGAAGGTAACTGACCCGGTGACTTGAAATAGTGGGAACTGGATGCATAGGGATATATAATGAATTGGTTTAAAATCTACAGGCAACCCTCGTTCTTACCACCAAATATCGCGTCTTCCTGCAGATTTTCCCCTCAAACCAACTCTGGGACAATAGGTCAAAGTGACAACAGGAGTACCAATATATACGCTAATAATCACTGGACATAGCAGTAACTCGATATTAATCTGATTGATGATCACAGATGTGATATTCATGGTTAATAGTTCGTTCATTGAAAATCTGCAATCATACTACTGTCCATGGTTATCTGTTAGTAGTTATAGTAATTATAAGAATGTCACTGGATTGGTTAAAGAAAAAAACTTCACCGGAAACCATGGGTTTTCCCCATGAAATATAGGGGTTTCCATGGGTTTTCCGTCCATTTTCCCAAGCCATTGAGCCCTCGTCCTTGATGTCCCGCTGCAAGGTGTCCAGTTGCAGCTCCCTGATGCCCTGCACCTAGCGCTCAACGGCAGCACGACAGGGGTCAGGATGGTCAGGTCCTCCATGTTTCGTGCGGCCGTGCAACGTGGAAGATTTTTTTGGGGACCCGATGTTCAGCTGAAAAGAAAAAGCAGCAAACATCAGCAACACATGGCAGTGTGTCAAAACCCTGTACCCCTGGTGAACATCAAAATAGCTGGTAAATGGATGTTCATTCCCCTAAAAATGGTATTAATAGGTATTGATCCATAGCCACATAGCAACACCATTGGACTTTTCCAGTGCTTTTCAGTGCACGTCTGGATCTGGAGGGTGAAAAGGGATTCTCTGATCGTAGGAGAGACACATGGAGTGATCCGATGGCCGAACTAGACGTCGCTTCAAGAATAAGTAGCGAACTCCACTTTGTCTGATCTACCCTCAAAGAGATTCTCACAAACCCATTTTTTTCAGTCTCTTGTGTTTTCTGCTTCCTTCTCAATCAAGTTAAAACCGATGTTGCCACATTGTGTTGGCCAACTACTGTCATTCTTAGCGATTTGCACTCCTCTTGTGTCTCTCACGGAGATGCTGACGCGGGAGGGAAACAGCCCCCCCTTGTCAGCAAAAAGTCTTGTCCTCGCCTTTTAGGTGATGACAGTTGGGGCATCACCTCGGCAACAAAGCCATGACGAGTGGTGTTTGAACTCCATTGCAGGGACCAAACCTGTTTGAAGCTTCAAATCAAAGCAGCATCTGCATGGAAAGTGCTTTGTGTGTTTCGAAAGCAAGAAATTGAATGCTTCAGTGGATTGATTTCAGGGGAAATAGTGCCAAGAAAACATGAAACCACTGAAACCACACGATATTTTCTAGGTTTTTGTCCACAAATATAGTCCCCCAGCTGGGTCCCCAACGTCCCGTGTAACTAGAAAGCTTCGAAAGCTCCAAAGCGATGGCCGCCAAAGGTTTAACGACCTGATACAGTTGGACCAACAGTGGAAAACATGGGGAAAAATGAGGAAATTATGAGATCCTCACGGGAAAGAGCATGGAATTTCGTCCTTTTCGGGCATTTTATGGTGCGTTTTTGGGTGTTTCAGACTCTTGACCGATCCAAATTTTGGTGTTTTTGTTTGCCTTTGTCATTTTTGAACTATCCTGATAGCGGGGTACCCAACGACTTGGCCCATATCCATTTAAAATCATTTATAAATAGATATATATATATATATACTTACAGTAAGTACTATATCAAATACAGAAATGGTGGACAACGTCTTTTTCCAATCGGTTTTTGGTTTCACGTAGCTGCAACACTATGTCAAAATGAAAAAATAAATCAAAAAAGAACACTTTATCCATCCTATGATGAACAGGTACATATGCAAGGCTTTGATGTGACGCTGAAGGCCAGCATTCATCCCACTAGAAATGGTGATACAGCGATACCCCATAAGGTGATACAACAAGCCAAGAGAGGGTTGTCCATATAGAAACACAGGAACTGAACTGGAAAGTCTGAAGGAACCAATCTGACACCATTTTTTCACGGGTTTTTCCAAAAAGTCAACCATCATTTGTGTGCATCATGGATCTTGAATGGATAGAAGTAGCTGCTCAGCTCTAGATGAAGGAGGCCCAAAGTCACACCTTCTGAATCCTGGAGGTCCAGTATTTTGAAACCACGAAAGTAATTGAGAATTTAAACCGGAAATCCTTGGGGCCCAAAAAATCTTGAATCCAACAGGAAATTCGATATTTTCAGACATTTTTTAGTGGCAACTTCAGATTTTTCTCTACAAATTTCCGCAGATTTTCCGTGGAAGCTCTTCATCTCCTTAGCCTCCGACTTCGAATTGGTGTTGCGTGAGGTCGCCTGTGGGTGGCTCGTACTTCTCCAGGTACAAGCGCACCGTCGCACCTGGGGCAATCTTGGCGCCAACGTCCTCCAAGTGGAAGACCACCATGTTTTTTTTATTGAATAAACATGTGAAATGGATTGAAATGGAGGATATATGTGGATATTGGTGAATCTTCCACTTGTATCCACTTTTATGTTAGTTGCCCAGAGGATTGGAAACTGCTGTTCATTTTGGGTCTCTGCCAAGTGGGTCGCCCCGCCTGCCACACCAGTGCCGGACAATCGAAAGATGATCCGCGAGTTGTCTTCAAAAATGAAGCGTAGGCCCTGCTTCTTCGAAATGCTGCCATCAACTGGGTCGACATATTCAAACATGTCCTGAGCCCATGAGCAATTGCCAAAGGGTATCTGGAAACTGGAAAACCGGCTATATTCTTTCCAACTCGTCTGCCCATCTAGTCGAGCATACTCTTCAACATTAAATGGGCAGAGACATTGGAACTTGAAAGCACCTAACAACTCACCAAACAACTGCAGAATGTTCTTCGCTTGGCGTCGTTGATCTTGATCTTCAAACCACCTTGGAACTCCTTGCCCACCAGCTGACCGACCTGCGCTTCCATGGCAGCAAACATCTCCTCAAGGCACAGAAAACCGCAAACTGAAAGGTGGTCTCACAGTTCTAATCCTTCAACCGACCTGTCGGTGGGTTGATTTCAGGGAAAAATCTACAGCCATGTTTCGTCAAGTTGTTTTTCCGATCAAATATATGGGGGATTCCACTAAAAATATCTAAAAATGTGGGCTTCATCATTGCTCAACCTGGAACAGTTCCAAATGGCTTTGACCTGGTATCCGATTCCAAGAAGATGCTGGTAATAGAAATCAGATCCTGGTGGTGACTACAAGGGATAGAAATGGGTAGAATATCTTGAAAAAGTCAAAATAGATTGAAATAGACTAATTACTTGCGAATACTACAAGCAAGTCTTATATGCGCACTTTGAGCGGCCCGGGAAAAAAAAAAACATCATCACATCATCGCCAAAGTTTGCCCAAAAAATTCACAGACCTTCAATCCACCGATTCACCAATTATGGTGTGATGCACTTCCGCTCCTCTGCTTTGGCTTTGTCAACTCCTTCAGGGGTTGGTAACTGTCCCATTTTGGGTATATTGGACATCACCTGAAAAAGTAGCCATGGCATTGACCATATACCTACCTTATATTGGGTGATGTGACCCATGGGGACATCAGTCATGACCCATGTCCTTCATAGTCGTATCGAGCATAGTAGTTGCGACCATACTCCTTCCAGTGAGCATTGGCAACATCCTCCAAGGGAGCATTCCAGTGATCCCAGGAGAAGGCAGGAGATCAAGTTGCATCAGGGGACGACTTAAAGTCGCCATCAGTAGCATACATTGGCAGTAGAAGATCTTTGTTTAATGATTTTTTTTGCAAAAAAATCATCTTGTTTCTCTGCACCTTTCAAGCCCATTAGATAAAAGCTCTGGCACCGCAGCTTTTGCATTACGCACAAAACTTGGAAACAAGCAGGTCATTCAAATCTTCCTACTTGGTCCTGGGTCATTTCTCTCTGCACCCCTGAAGTTCACTATCGGCCAGGTTGGATGATTCGAGCGAGTTGCTGCCAAGCTTCTCCCGTGTTGGGAGGTAGTCTGTTTGTATCTGTTTGTACTATCCACAATTCCAATGGATCATCATGTTTCCAAGAAGCCATCTACAATCTCCCAAAGTAACATAGATCCGGAAAATTGCCAATTCTCAAGAGACAGTAATGTTAGTAAAGCATGGTCCGCTTGTTCATTAGACATCATTCAACGATGTGTGATGATTTACTCATGTACATGGTGATTTAAATCAGTATCTATATAAATCTAAATAACATCAAAACATATATTAATATATTAAAATAAAACTAAATATCTATGTCAGAAGTACCATGAGACTAAGCAAAGTCTCTCCGAAACAGCACGGGTCCAGTGAGTCTGTTGTGTTCACACCTGTCACTGGAGGATACCATCATTTTCATACCCCCCAAACGGCTATTTTTTGAGGCCTAATACAATTAATTATTTAATGATCAATATATTATTAAGATTTATTGATAAATGATGTAAGAGGCGAAACAAATACCAACCGATTTTGGTATCCAGTTTCCAGCTCGTCACGAGTCGGCGTTGACATTTGGGTGTTTTTTTTTAAATTAAATAAATGTTTTATATTGCTTTATGACATTGCGTAGCACTAGTCTTCCCCCTAACATCCCTAACCATGTGGCGGGTCTATGATCGTTGGGTGCCGAGATCCTCTACGCTCACCAATTTTCCAGCCGCTTCCGTCTTCTTCGCCAAGATTTGAAGCCACGCCATCACGGCCCACATACCGTCCTCCGGAGGAGCGAGCGATCAACGTGGCGTCAGTGATCTGGGTCAATGGGCTGGTTAGCCACCAAAATGGCTAGTTGAATGAATCTATATAGTTGAAAAATGTTGAAAAGGTCTTGTACAATGATGATAATATAAATGATAACGATGATAAGCCACCGGATTTAGGGGTACCTTATGGTATCCTATTTTTCAGACGGAACCCATTGTCGTGGATCAAGAATAGGGAATGGACCCACACATGTTCATCATTTTTGGTTTTGAACAATTAATCTTCAATACTCCGATTTGCGGCCGTTTTGAGCCAATCCCATTTTGTGGTGATTGCTCATCGGAGTGGCTGGTTTTTTCCGCCCCAAGACTTGCCAGACAAACATGCTGCGCTCTGCAGTCCTTTTCGCGCACATGGTCTGCGCCAGTACCGAAGGATTCTTCGCCGCAAATGAAGGGAGTGTAGGTCTCCTGCCGGAAAGAAATTGTCAGCAGCTGTGGTCAGTACATATCAGTACACCGCTTGTGTTTTATTGCTGCGCCGCGTTGATTGTGGCAACGTCAGCAATGCCCTTTGACATCAGGGCAATTGCAGTCATCAGTCATACACACCGTTGAAGAAATAATCAGGGCCTGTTGATATAGTAGGTTTAATATATCATAAATATTAGTAGGTTTAATATATTATATAATATTATATCATAGATTATCATGGCTTTATTCCATCATAGTCATAGTCATATTTATCATTCATCCAGTTCTACTACAACTGGGTGCTTTGACAAAGTGATGCAGGGGCCCTTTATCCGCTCCTTGCCGGGGAAATAGCTGGTGCCACTGTCCATCAGATTCCCAAAGAATTTCCAGCCCGTGGGAACTTCGAAGCATGGAATGTTTTTCCTGAGCCAGCTGGGCATGATGTGAATCGGACTGGAGGCATGGCATAGCTGGAAAGTAGCTGTGCTGCGCAGAAACTATGCCCTAGGCTGGCACCTAGAACCAGCCCCCAGTAACTTTCCTAAGTGAAGGTGCAGAAAGTCCGAGGATCTTTTTGGCCACCAAATCCAATGCAGCTGAGGTTGGCATTGATCTGGCACATCCCTTCAAACCACTTTTGAACCTAAGACACACACAGCTGGCAGCTGGCATGATGACTTGAATGATCTAGCTGAGGAATCCTAGAGCTAGAGCTGAATGGTGCCATCGTCTTGCTAGGGTCCATCATGGTGTAACTCTTATGACGGCAACCATGGGTGATTTTTTATGTTTTTTTCTGATTTCTCAGGCTGATGCAGGTCCAAAGGCAAAAACCATCAAAAACCCACATGCTTTTTCATGGATCTCAGAGCTTGCATCCTCTCTTCATCCTTTTGTTCAATTGGGCCTCAATCGTTGTTTCATTCCTGCCGTACCTCTGCTCCACCGCCAAGTTGCTGCGGGATGAGGTCGGCATTTGCCACGATCATCGCCAGAGAATCACTGGGCGACACGAAGAACTGCGCGCCACAAATCATGTTGCGATCTGCATCCCCGTCCGCTGCCGCACCGAAGCAGGGGATGGCTTTGCCGGTCTCGACCTTGTTACCCTCCTGAATTAACAGATTCAAAAGGCATCTATTCTCCTTCAAACAGATTCAAAAGGCATCTATTCAAGGTAAAACATGGTAATTAAGACTGTTGTTGTGATCTAGATGGACCTTGATTACATCTGTATTCAAAATGCAGTTGTGCAGAAAGCTTGAGACTTACAGTATGTTCGACATGATCAAACAAGGTGTTGCCAAAATTATCCGAAATCCTTCTGCAGGAGAAGCCATTCGATCAGGTCTGGATCAATCAAATGTTTAATGACTTGAGCGACCGGTCCCAACCCCAAAGTTCTTCACTCACAGCCAAACCCGTCCCTTGCCATCCAGTGCCCCACCTACAGGGTCTCCATCCAAAAGTATTGCACATTTTGGCCTGCTCTTTGAGCATGATTTCACGGAAAGTGACTGTCCGAGTTTGTATCATTGGTCAATTTCTGTAAATATCTTGAAGTATGGTTGATTCATGTTGATTCCAAAATTTCACCAGAGGTCATTTTTATGGTCATTTTTCCTTTTATGGTCATTTTATGGCTCCTTGTTCAATCCCATCTCTTTCACCAGCTCCACCGCATAGGTCAGGTTTGGATCCGCATGGCCATGCCAGGCCGAGGAGGGCCCCCCGAAGTCCGGCAGCGGCGTGGCGTTTTTGCAGGTCCCTGGTGGGGCCCCGAGCTCCTTCTCGAAGACCCGGAGGGCATAGGGGCCCTGGACGCCACACATGGAATCGTAGGTCATACCTGGGATCTGATGGGAGATGGAATCTGAAATATCTGTGGTAAATCCAACGATAATAATACTATAATCTGAGTTGGGGGAAATCCGATCTCAGAATAACACCTTCGGTTTTGGGTGGACGGGGATTTATGGTATGGGATCAAATTTGTAGTTTGGCCACTTAATTGAGGATTCTGAAGCCTGATGCACATCTATGCCATCATTTGCCCCGAGGCAGTGGATAGAGATATTACTGACATAGCGGGACTTGTTTGTATGATAACAATTATATTATAACAATTGTACTCATTTGGAGTGGTTCTTGCAAATCAGAACTTATCATATCCTGCTTTGGACAAGGGGACGTTGACAAATGTGTGCTTACACAAAATAAATGATGATACAGTACAGTACATTTTCCAGGCGTCCATTCACGAGTACATCCCATCATTCCACATCATTCAAGGACTGCCTCCCAGTTGAATCAAAGACATCAAAGGCAAGTCACTGAATTGCGGGTGAGCAATCAGCTTTTTGATACCCTCGAAGTCAAAGCAATTCCTCAGCAATCTCACAGCTGCGTCGAAATCGAGGTGTGTGGGAGTAAAGTGCTGATCTTCTCATGAGAATGGTTTCTGGCACAATGTGACATATCTATCACAGAATCTAATGATAAAAAAAAGTTTCAGTTCAATCCACTCACATCCACATTTACATATATACATTTACTATAATTTACTATATCTCACCATCATTCATCAATCTCATCTTCGTAATGCCAATCGACTTCAGCACGGCCAGGTGATCTGACACACAATCGAAGATTTCCACGAATTTCCCCCCGGGCAACTCATAGAGCTCCGGCTTGGAGAGATCAAAATCAGGTAGCTTACCTTGGGCGAATCGGTCAGAATCCCAGTGTTGATCTTGGATTTCTCTTGCTGAATCAAGCTTTGTCAACATGCTTTTATGTTGCTTCATGATACTCAAATCCTGGTTTATAAACTTTTATCCCTGGTTTTGGGTATCTGCAGTATCCCTCAGAGATAGAGGTAAGCGCCATCTACCGAGGCACGTCAGACCCATCGTCGACCCACAGCATCTATTCGTTCTTATTCAGCGCTATTACACAAACTATCACAAACTTGAATAATCACAGTAAAACCAATCTGATGATATACTTGTTGTTTCTGCCAGTAAAGCCAATCTTTGGCCAACATTTGATGATTTTCGCCCATCCATCAACCGCTCAACCGATCTCCCAGGTGCTGCAGCTTTTCAGCTCCGTGATCTTGGCGGTCCATTCCAACATCTTGTTCGTCAGCTTCTCAGGTGCCGGGCCTCCATTTTCGCAGTTGTACCTCTGGAAAAAAAAGGCTGAAAAAAGAAAGCGCATTGTAACTTTGGATAGCTTGGTTCATCTTATGATAAATCATTTTAAATCCAGGCAATATAATAATATATATATAGAGATATCTAGGGTGAACCGCACAACTATAGGGAGCAAAACCCAAGGTTTGCAGGTTTCATCCAAGTTGCTTAATGCCAAAATCATCGTCGATGCCACCAGGATTGTGCGAGGCGGAACAAATGAAGCCTGGGACATAAAGCATCAAACATGGCCGCTTGCTGGAAAATCCACCATATATATATATATGTATATATATATGTATATATATATATATATGTATATATATATATGTATATATATATAGCTGATTTTCCCAGCTACATCCAGCTACAAACCTCCCTGTAGTTCGAACATTTCCCAGCTCGCCATGGTTGATTTCGTACATCCAACAGCTGGAAGACTTCTTCTATGAAGTGCTTGTCAGTTGACAATCTGCTCAACCGATCACAAACAAATCTCAAACATACTTTCAAGTCAAACCAGACTTTCCTGTTTCCTACGCAACATGTCAAACTGCTACATACCCCTACCATCCCCTACCCCATCACCATCAAACCACCTGCCTCCAAAGGGTTCATAGCCCTTGCCACCGCGCATACGGATCACGGCCGAAGTGGCTGGCGTGGACAATAGGCCATTGGTGCCACACCAGACGCGCGCCACACCCGCTGCGAAGGCCATCTTGATGATAATTTGGATCGCCTCAAAGCATGAAACAAATGAAGCAGAATAGATGGGTTGATCATGGGTTAATATTAATATCTTCATGATTAACCCATGATTAATATTGCTGGGTTAATAGATGGGTTAATCATGGGTTAATAGATGGGTTAATCATGGGTTAATCATGGGTTAATATTTCTGTTAATAGATGGATCTGTCCAGAAATTGGGACTTCCAGTTTCACATTTCAAGATCTCTCTGTGGATGCGCACGTCCACCCAACAAACCCCCAAGCACGGCACTGGCAGCGATATGTTTTAAAACCTGAATGGCTTCTGCACCAAAGTAAAGTACACAATCAATCGCCATGTCTTTGAGAAAATGAAATAGTTGAGTAAAACTATTAATATATAGATCATATATATATAATTATATATATATTCAGATATTCTATGATAACAATATATATATATATAACATGATATGCAACAATCATAAATACAGTAACATGACCATATAACCAAATTATATAATGCTTATGTATAGTTCTCAACTTTCCACTCACTCCGCTCGGCGGCCTCTGGGTTCCAGAATCGGCCGTCCCCGGAGACAACCAAAGTTCCGCCCTGCACGGGGACATTCTCTTCCTGCAAGGTGTTGAAAACGCTCTGCACGAAGTTCGCCAAGTACCTCGATCGAGACGTTTGGACCGTTTTCTGGCGAACTGAAAATATGGAAGTCTGAGTCCTAAAAGCGCATGCTGCAGCTCAGACAAAGATAGCTGCTTCTTCGGTGATGTCCTATTTACATCTACTGATCACGACCTTTAAATAGCATGCAATACAGTAGCTGAACGTAGCCAATTTTGGTGGATCCTGGCTAGCATGAAGATCCCCATGCAGTTGTGTGTGCTCACGGCTCAGCCATAATCCAGAAATAATATCTCATAATCAGCTGGCCTAGCTACGTTCCTTCCATAAACACCTTGGTCTTCTTCCTGATTCCCGAAGTCCCTGGCTTTTGCCCCTCAATGGGCTTGGTTGGCGTGGTCTCCACTGTAAAATCTGCATGAATTTTCACCATGGCTGGTGCCGCGGAAGCCACGCACAAAACGAGACCTCTTTTGAGGTACCGCGTGGTTGCACGAAGAAGTTCAAAGATGTTCTGAAATTTGGACGATGGAGAGTGATCTAGGTTTGTTTCAGCACAATTCCAAAACATAATGAATTCGTATGAACTCATGCATGTGTTGATTTCTCATCTACAGTACTCATATGTAGCCCATCAGCTCTGTACTTCTACAGTACATTCTGAGCTGGCTGCAGCAATGGATGTCCAAATATGGTCAAGGTCTTCATAGACTTCTGCAGCATGTTATCAAGAAAGCATTTCAGCAGAGAGTGAACCAAACATACCCTCCGCTAATCAAACATGGCAATAGAAAATCCAACTTACATCCACCATGCATAGATGATATTCCCATATTTTCCCATAAAAAAACCTCCATTTCAGGGGATTTCATGGGATTTTTCATGGGATTTCCCAACCTGCCAGGTTTGATGAACGGATGGTTTTTGAGCGCCGCGGGGCACCAGCCTTCAGGGTATCCAGCTGTGTTGCGATCCGCTGAATACAACGGGTCACCGCAGCCTGGAGCGCCCCATGCAGCATCCACTGGTTTGGCATCATTTAGCCTATGGAACACATTATATAATACAATGTTCTCATCTAGCCTAGAAACCAATGCAGCTTTGGATGCTCCATATTTTGATGTGCGGTCCAAAAATATGTTTTGTGCTCCATATTGAAACGAACCCGGAATTTCTGCATCAGTCAAGCAGGTATGATTTCCTGCGTTTTGCGTAAAGAAAATAGTAGATCAAGAAGGGGGTCATCGATTATTGAGTCCCTCTGCGTGGCAGATTCTACCCTCTGGCAATTCTACATTGCTATGGACATCTATCTTTAATAAGTATATTATAACTATAGTATATACGAGTATATATATATATTCATCTATAAATGGGCCATGTTCCATAGCTTCAATAAATGACCACTGGCTACAGTTCCTAGCATCAGCGGTTACTGTGTTACCAGAGGCTAACTGCTGGATTCGCTGGAGATTCCCAGGTGACCGCGCCTTCACCTGCTCCGAAGCATCGTTGCCCTGAAATCTGTTGCTTTCAGCCGTTTTTTCACATCCTTTTCCACTAAAACTTGAGGAATCACCTTGCAAGTTACGGATCTTCAAGTTTTTTTCAATCAAATTATAGGCTTTTCAAGTTGGCCCACGAATTATGGGACCAAACTTACTTATTCACTTGTGAATGCGGGAAGTGTGCAGGAAACGGTTTAATGATGGCATTGAATATAGGGATCCAAACCTTGACTCCAATCTGAATCTGGCGCACCTGTTCGGAGTTTCATAAACCTTCTTCGGCCTCAAAAAAAACCTTCATAGTGACGCGATTTTCAGGTTACTGGTATAATTAGTTCCTTGATCACTTGATACACTTTTCTTGGCGATTTCCGGCCTGCATGTAGGCGAACACCATGTCCACCATAAACACCACCTGCACAGGTTGCAGCAGGATGCAGCTGGTGGAAACATGTCACTCCACGGGAAAGAGGAACATAATCCTTTTATTGGAATCTGACAGAAGCTTCAATCTGGCAGCAAATTGCTGCGACATGCAAAGGCACTGTTATGATTGCAAACATAAAATCAATGGATCGAAGAACGCCGAAGCCATCAGCAGTTCCAACACCTTTGCTTCTCATCGTTTGTTTCCAGGAAGGCTACGAATAGCAGTTCTCAGTTTCCCCTTTGATCAAATTTTGATGTCCCCGTATTGGTCTCCGGAAAAATCGACTGGGAACCTCTAAATTTGATGGTCAAAGAGTCAAACCCTTTGGTTCCCCTCCGTATTTCATCAGTCCACATCGTGAATATGATCCTTAAATATCACTTATGGATACTTATGGGATAATATTATCCTTATAAGTTATAAGTGATAATATTTATCATATATTATATATCCCATACATTCCCATACTATTCCCAAAATTCAAAAAGAATGGGATCCTCTTATCTTTACCCATCCTTTTTCCCCCTCTCCAGGCCCACCATGACGGCCAAGACGTTGTCCAGGATCGCCGTAAAGAGCTGCACATCCAACATGCCGACACGCGGCAAGTGGCGGAACCTCAAGGTGAACATGGGCATGGAATTAGTGCCAATCTATGGCAATTTCATGGGAAATCTATGGAAATATCATGGGAAGATGGATGGAAATTGAAGGATATGGAAGTGGATGATGAAACAGTGAATTTTCGGGGTAAATCCCTTACACACCCCTATTTTCTTTCCGAATCTACCCATAGACTTGCTCAAGGTACCTATCAAAATGGGAAGGGATGCAACATTGTACCATGCTTATTCATGTTTAGGGGGAACAAAAACATCCCGATGTTTACGCTTTTTACTTTTTTCATCTTTTTTCTATGGCTAAGTGAAGGATCTGGGTGTAACGATTGAAAGGTGCCATACTCAAATCTTGCAATCCGAGTGGCATCTCTGTTCCAGATAATGCAGCCTTTGCTCAAAAAATGACTGTCTTGTCTAAGTGCTGCTCTGCTCTATCCAGTCTATAATTATGACAAACAATGAAAATCTTAGAGTCTTAGAGACCCTTCGAGGGAACTTCACATGATCAGTTTGCTGTGGATGACTTTTCTGGCTATGCTGGATGCTTATCGATGGTGTTCTGCTTTGCGCTGTCTGAACCGTTCCAATATCTGACTCACCTGACAGTATGTTTTGCCAGCAACTGGGCGTCAAACCCACATGAGGCACGCGCGGAAGTATTTCGAGTCCGTTGCCAAATAGCCAAAGATCGCCAACGTCCAAGTAGTGAACATCACCACAAAGTACATAAACACGCGCAGCAAATAGTTCACTGATGTAAGGTCTGCAGCAGGATCAGTACTGCTGAAGATCCTGTAGGTCGACTCTCTCTCTCTCTCTCTCTCTCTGGATACACTGGTGATCACTGGTGAAAAATGAACATAAGAAACTGCTAGAAGTTCACAACAGTACCATTTTGACCTTGACCAATTTAAGAAATGACTTCAATCACTGCCCCAAGCTGCTAACAAGGGTCAACAAGGCGGGAATGTTGCCCACAGCCAATCCCATGCAAATGCCCAGCAATCTGTTGATGTTGACTTCGAAGGAGGATCCGGAGGTTTGGGAGAAAATCAGAGAGGTCGCAACCACACATCCGCAGCTGTAGTTTCCTGCCATGGCTGCTCTAAACATGTGTTATGTTTGATCGGTATAGACGGCATAGAGTTCAATATGTGATAGGGGGATATAGGGGGGTCAACTCTACCTGCAAGAATCAAGCATCTTTTGTGATGTGGCCTCCCAAGAGCTCACATTTTTGTAAGCTCTTCCATGCAGACCAGCGGCGAAAATACAATGACCATAGAAGGGCCAACAACCAAGACGTTGTATTTCTGAGAGCAAACCAGTTCCTGCAAACCCCCAATCATCGACGTCATCAAAGATTCCACTTCACAAGCATTCCCAAGTGCTTTTCCAGCAAAATAACAAACACCTCCAGCTTTTCAGAAACAAAAGTGAAGCAATCCCATTAAATTCAACAATCTTCAAAACAATCCAGGAACAATCAAGTATTGACTCTCACAAGTTTCATCTATTTTTTGTTCATTGTCAACCCATCGTCAACCATTCTCAATCATTATACCCGGTAAATTGAAGGTACGTAGCAATCCAGCAGCAGTTTGGCAGTAGCCAGCGGCAGCAACTGAGCAACAGCCAGCAAGAGCAGCAGTTTAACAGTAGTTACTAAATACAGTTGAACGTACAGAAGTCACTGATAAGAAAGCAGCTGCAACAAAAAAAGTTTCCCCCCAACTGAACGCAACAAAAACTACATATACCCAAAGCATAACTAGATACCTAAACCGAAGCTGAACGCAAGAAAAAACACAAAAACACTTAAAAACATGGTTGCGCTGTGATCACCAGAGTTTGCTTGCGTTTTCCAAAAAGGCACGACTTCCAGGGAAAGCTTCGACGCAACTAAATATAGACATTTCTGAAAAAAAGGAGCGACTTTGTCGATTGCCTGTACCCTACTGTAAACTAACAGTTCGATGTTGGAAACCCATCATTTCTGATCCATTTTCCGAACTGGTTTCCCCGTGGTTTTTCCAGATCATCTTGTAAACGTTCACCCAAGTGGAGACCTTCCCATCCCAACCGCGCCAAACAGATGCCCCATGCCATCCCGTGCCCTGTCCGGTTGCTCCACGTCTCGTTGCTTTCGGACGAAGCGCCCGATGTGACGCCGCCCAGGGCGCGGAAGGCCGCAGGCCAGGAGCGGAGCTTGTCGACGAAGGCCATCTGAATGGAGGCCCTGGCGTTGACGCAGTTAAGATCTGGTTTATTGGAAGGTTTAGTGGGAGATTTTAATGGGATATTGGTATAATATATTATATATAAATATGGATATAGGATAAATGGAGGTTTAATGGGATATTACTGGAATATACTGTACCCTGTATTCGTGGCTTGCTGGAAAATCCACCATTTAGTTTGATGATTTGATGATTATTTTCGCTACGAGTAACGCTGTTAAGATATGGGGGATTTGCCAGCCACGTTGCACTGACCTGAAATAAGATGATTCTGGGATAGTTACCTCAATATACCATCATTTCAGTGACGTTACATGGATGATTTTGGGAGCTGATTCGATGAGAAATCATATGGGAATAATGATATGTCATGATTAATGATAACTCAATGATAACTCAAACAGTTTATGATTGATCAACATTGATCAACCTGTTTATGGGGAATGAAATAGGGATATTCTGAAATTTCGGATGGTCGGATCTCATGCTTGGATCAAGGAGTTGATATTCAGGGAGATACAGATGGCTAGTTCCTTGGGAATTTCTGATAGGTAAACCATAATGATAAGTTAGAGAGTTTTTTGACCACAAAGGGGTTACACTTGGGATATACAAACACTATGACATGGTATGATATTGGTGCTTACTAAAAACAACTCCATTTGAATGGGGGGATAAAACCAACGAGTTCATGGGGATGCAAAATCTACGGGGTAGTAACGGAATATAACTTACGAGGTAGTAATGTATGACCTCCTAACGGAGAACATCATGGTCAACGACTGCTTGGAATAAGGTTCCCTATTTTGGGACAAGCACCTGTTTGGATCCACTAAATTCAAGTCGATTCTTTCTTATCAAACTAGCCATTCTTAGGAGTATATTCCGGAACTATAATGATATAATATATAAATATCATATATTCTGTCCCCGAAAAATGGGATACCCAAACACTCTTTGGTGATTCTTGAAGATTGAACTTGCAAATCATGAGCGCCAGCAGCCTCAGTCTGGACATGTCTGGACGCATCCAAGGAGCATCTGATCGTCCTCGATGTCCCGCAATGTCTGGATCAAAATCTCATCCGCTTTCTCTGCGATGCGCTTCAGCTCTTCACACGTCTCCTGGAGCATGGAGAACGATGGAGAAAGTGGGCTCCAAAGGTTTTTCAGCTTCAGTCTTCATCAGTCCACCTTTTTTTCCCGGTTGAGTAGATTCATCAACTGATATCAATTATTATCAATTCATCTACAATCTTAATTGGTTTTTTAAAAAAATGTTGTGAGTACTGAAAATTAGTCGTGGGTATACCCCGCTCCTATCTTAATTGCTACGTTTTTTTCAAAACGATCAAATTTCCAGGATCGGATCTCTGGCGCCTCCGTCAAGTCTGCGTTGGAGCGACAGTCACGGGCGACCAGAGACAGGCCATCATTGCAAGCGAGGAGAAAATCTTCCAATTTCAACTGCCTGAGGCGAGATTTGGGGATGGATCAATACCTATTAATACCATTTTTAGTGGGATGAACATCCATTTACCAGCTATTTTGATGTGAACTACAGGGGTACAAGGTTTTGACACACTGCCATTTCCCGAGAAATCTCGTCTTTTTTTGGTCGTATCTTCTCTTTGGATCTACCATGATCTACCCAACCAGCCCGGGATGATTTCAATCCCAACGTACACACGGTGATATTGAGATATATTGAGTATTGGGGATGGTCAAGTGGGTTTAAAACCGTCACATGATCTGAAATGTGGTTCTGGTTGGTAGTTTTAACCCCTCTGAAAAATATGAGTCAGTTGGGGTTATTATTCCGAATATATGGAAAGTCATAAAATTCATGTTCCAAACCACCAACCAGGGTTATATTATATATAATAGGAACATAACCATCTAATGTTCGAGTTCCCAGATTTCCAGCACTGGCTAACACTTAAAATTGGACTCAGCTGGGAGGGGTAACTTCAGCTGGAGTTGTTAGAAGTTTTCATCTATGTTTGACCCCCCAATCATAAAGAATAATAAAGAACTTATTGAGGGCTTCTAAATAAAAACCACCCAGGGACCCAACATGAGTGTGAGGTTGAATCTAGGGGTTGGCTGTATACCTTGAAGAAAGGAGAGACACAAACACTCACGACATTCTCTGTGTTTCTGAGAACCAAAATGATTCAATGCCCCAAGAATTTGCAGAAGAACAGGTCTTGGGAAGGCTTGGGTCCAAGTCCAAGCCACTTCCCCTTGGGCATGGACTGTCCGAAGTATCGCCTCATAGGGGCTGTGGGAAGGGTTGCATTGCACGAACTGGTAGCACAAAAACCTTGCATATATTCGTGTGGTAAACCCATGTAAACCCAATAAAGAGACCATCCTAAAATCACTATCTGTGGTATAAATAAACCATCCCCAAATGGTAGGTAGGTTTATTGGGTTGCCCACATTACAGTATCTTTTTGTTTGTTTGTTTTTCTTAGATTGAACAGCAGTGGACATCCAAATACCAGTAGACAAAAGTCTGAGGTGGCAACCCAGTGGCAAACATCTCCGAGTGCGTGCTGTGGATTTTGCTCTGAATCAGTGACCATGAATGTATGGTCGTATTTGAGATATACCCTCTGGTTAGTTAACATAGCCATGGAAAATCACAATTTTTAATAGGTAAACCATCTATAAATGGGCCATTTCCCAGATGGTATTTCGAGATGTCTTTTTCTATTGCCGGAAACATCCGGAGACACCAAACGTGTGGAGGTCACACTCCCACAAGAGTTGCCCAACATCTTTGCACGAGTTGCATCTGCTCACTCTGGATGCGAAGCAACTGTCTGAGCTGCCTGTTGCATGTTGACACTGCTTGTGTTGGTGCCAATCTTACAAGTACCTCACATTATTGGATGGACAGTCTGCGCGATACTTAGCATTGTATCATTATAATTGTCCCAAAAGAAGACCCTTCCTGCATCTTTCAACCTCTAGAAAAAGCACATCTACACTGCACATAATACGGTCATGTTCACATCTTTCACAAGCTCCTTCAGCCGAATTCAACCACTCTCAAATCAGCATCAACTGGAGGTGTCCTAAAATGGTCCAATGACTTGGATGATTTGCGGGGTACCCCCATGACTCAGAGGCCCTAAATCTCCCCAGTTTCGACACATCTGGCGCCTCAAAAAACTCGCCACCTTTGTCAGATTCTTGGACTCTTTGGGTTCCCAGGGAGTCAGAGCCAGAATGGCTTCTGCCCGTGTCCGCCGCAGACCCAAATGCCTTGGGACAGGACAATCTGCTGATTTTTCGTGGTGATTTAACAAAAAACCAACGGAAAGAAACCATGACTTTAAGCGGAATTTTTAAGGTGGGATATCAGCAAACAAATGGGGATACCCGTAATCAAACAGGGCACGCTGGAAAAGCGGAAAAAAAAAACCAATGGTTGATGACTTTTTCTAATTGGTGATTGGCCTTGTTGTGACTTGCTGTTGTCAAGTTGTCATAGATATTCATAGTTCCAAATCCCTGCTTCAATATTAGGTGGACGGGATAATCCAATCCCAAGCCTGTTTCCCTACGCCTCCAATGGCTCCAAGGTACTTGATGTAAAAGTTGGAGCTGTCCGCGTGAAATTGGAATTTCCAGGCTTCCTGCCAGTGGAGTTTTTTCGCCAAACTATCTATGTAATGGGGCAAACCCAACTATAAATCGTCCTAATTAACTTTGGTTTATTACTGGGTATTAGGATTGTGTATATATATATATATTTAATCATATTTACATATGCGTGTAAAACATCAAAAAATGGTCGGCTGCTGTGATGGTCTATGATTGGGTTTATTACATTGCAGTACTTGAGTTCTTACATCTTTCGGCATCAGAGGTATACAGCAGATCAAATGGCTAAGCGGCTTAAGCAAACCGGAATTGTTTACACATTGCAACGCGCAAAGACATGCGAATCTCCGTTGTTCTCAGACATCTCAGATTCGCAGGCCTGCTGCAAGATGGTCATCAAGTACTCCAAACATCCCGCAGTATCCTGCCGGCGATGATCCATGCTTCAATTGGGCGCATAACTTGGTTATGTGCCCACTGAGCATTCCACTGCAACAGAATATTTGCGTAGAGGCAGAATTAAATTGCATGGGAGCGGGTCAAACGTGGGATACTAATGCACCCAAAATACATCAAAATACCAGTAGTGTCCAGTTCTTGGTAAATCTTAAAGTCTTAGATCATTGACCAATAGATGGGTTTGACCATTTTTGTTTAATCATCCACATCCATCGAAGGGTCGATCATCTTGATCCCATGATACATACCCCGTTGAAATACTGTTTTGTGAGTATCTATCAATATCCATCTATACATAGTCTATCAAATCTATCAAACGAAAGGTCACACAAAACTATATAGATAAATCATACATAAACTATCATAAACTATCATAAACTCGAACATTTCCCTGGATCATCCTGAGTTCAATTGATGCTGAACACGGCACGCCTCTGCCAGCTGGGCAAGGGCTAATGCAGAGGCCCATTTGGCCGTGTGCGTCTCGATGGAACGGCGGGTCGGGAGCATCCCCAAAGTAATGATGGAGAGCAGCACTGCTAGGGAGACCAACCAAAATCCTTAGCAGTGATCATTGGTTGATATAATGATCAATGGATATCAATGGGACAATTGGTATCAAAATCAGAAAAATCTGGATAATTGGTATCAAAATCCTGATTATGCCAGATGATTTTGAATGGGGAATGGGTATAATCAGGATACCAACCGGTATCATTACTGAACCAGAACAATAGCAGAAACAGAATGGCAATAGAGATTTCATGAGATTTCTATATGCGGAGTTCTGTTATTTTTTTTAGATGTTAGTTGGATACACGCAGGATCTAGGAACGGATTCGAGATTTACACATGTTGACTACGTTTGTATAGTTTCTAACCAGGGGAACTCCAATCATCATAAGCAACAGGCATATAGACTTAGAATACAGAATATATATAAACAATACGAACATGTGTACCCCCAAAATCCCCCAAATACCCCCAAATCCCAAGGTTTATCATCATTTCCCGCATCAAAACTGCAATCAATTCTGGGCCCATCCCATCCCCCTTTGCTGAAAGCGAGAATCCGCACATGGCGGAGCCGTTCCAATTCCACTGGAAATCCCAGTCCCAGCACACCTGGCCATGTCAAAACTGGAACCCGCGAATTGCGAAGCCACAAAATCCTCGATCATTTTCCCCATGGAGTCATGAAAGTTCTGCCATTTTGGGGGGAATCCCCTGGGACAAACCACCCCCTTAGCACATATATTGGGCAACATACCCAGGCCCCAACTGCTCATCAGTTTAACCAGCTGGATCCAGGTATGAGATGAGTCGGACATAGTCGGAGCTCAAGCGATGCTAAAAAAGCATGCTGAGAGCTTGAATCATATCGGATCGTCAGAATTTGATGTATATGATGTATATGATGATCATATCCCAAGAAAAGATAAGAACAGGTCAAAGAGTGAACTATCCTATTGAAACCCATCCCAGTAAAACCAGAACTGGGAATGGCTCATGGGATCCAATCGACCTGCAACAGCTTGGTCATGTCTAGTACTTGACAATCCCATTTCGAGGCATCACGAATTTTGAGCCCCACCCATTTCCCCCCAGGTCATCATATCCATAATATCCGCCCATTTAATGGTTAATTCCCATACTATGGTCTCAATTTAATGGGATTTGGATATGAAGTATATGCCTACGGGTTGAAAACCGTCCGAGCGTTTTAGGCATTTTTTAAATATGTTCCTTGGGGTGGGGTGGGGTGGGCTGGGGTGGGGCAATAACGTTCACGTACTTGCGCACTCCCATGATGTTACGCCACGGCACGTTCACTTGCACGTGCGCACATACGTCATGCTACGTTGAAGATGTGTCACGTCACGCAGGGCTGGGGTGGGGTGGGTTGGGGTGGGGTGGGGCAATAACGTTCATGTACTTGCGCACTCACATCGCAAAATCCAATTTATCAAAAAGATCCGCAGACATGCTGGAAAAACCTTCTGGGTTCATACTGGCACCATCCACTCGTGCTGGCGTATGATCAAAGCCAGTGTTCCCGATCAGTTGACATCTTGCCCAGAAAACGAACAAAAATTGAAAGACCTCATTTGGACGTACGTTCGCACATGGCAGTGGCGATGGGAGGCAAATGTAGTTGGAAAAGCCCTGTTGGAGAAAACAGGTGCGTACTTAGCGAAGATGTAGAGATCACCGGAAAAAATGGCTGCAGCTGAGGTTTTGGGCACGCTGACTTCCCAAAAGGAACCTTTTTCGCACTCCAACATGTCAACTATATACAGTAAACCCCAATGAAAATTCAAAATCACAATAGAATTGACCTTCATGGACAACATAAAAACATGAAGAAACACTGCGAAACGCATGATTGAATTCTTGCCAGTCACATGAAAATGCTGTTTTTACTCGGCCCATTTCCAACCCGGCGGGAAGTATATCAATGGATATCAATGGATACAGCGGGAAGCCTAACTCATACCTAAGTCATGCCCTAACCCTACTTCTGCATGGCACCGCTGTTTCCAGAAGTCACGCCTAAGTCATGCCCACCCGGCGTTTCAGCATGGCACCGCGATGGGGATATGCACAACAAAGTGCTAAGTAGATGTTCCAAACCCCCGTTTTAGCATGGAATAGCTATCATTAGAAGGCTCAAATAACATTGTATGAAATCAACTCCGGATTCTCGTTCCTGCATGGCACCGCTATCTCTACAGTGCCTTACACATGGCATCGCAAACAGGCAACTTTTTTCCTCACTTAAGTCTTCGGTACGAAGACACGCTTGCGCTCCGTCAGCCAGGTCTGCAACCAGTTCTTTCGCCCAGCTTTTGAGTTCAGGGTCTTTGGTTCGATAATTTCTTTGGCAAAATGTACGCACAAATCTGCTTTGGGAGTTCTCTTGGTTCGCAAGAAATTCACATAAAATTTGGCAACTTTGGAGAACATGTCGATTGAAACGCCCAAGGCCTCTGCCTCCTTTGCAGGAAAGTAATGCTCAATAAAGGAGCAGCAATCATCTGGGCTATTGAGATTCCACTCTGGGTCTGATGCATCTTCATCCTCCTCCAAAGGCTCCGGCCCCAGCTCCACAGTAGAAGGCTTCGAAAAAGATGCCGCTTTATGTTCTGTTTTTTGCTGCTTGCAAGGTGGTTCTTGGATCTCTGCAACGCCGTCACCAGTCTGCGAAGGTTTGGCACTTGCATCTTCGCTTTGAGCTGCACCACCTCGACGGAGCCGGCCCAGCAAATCGCCAACTCCTTGAGCGAGCCTTCTTTCTGCGGGTGTTTCTGGTAGCTGCGGAACTTCTGGTTGTGGCGGCTTGTGCCAGCCCTTTCTGCGGCCGCTTCTAAACATGTCTGCTTCTGCCTGGAAGGAACATAATTCATTGCAAAGACAATTCACAATGACACCGCCATAGAACTGATTGGCTACCTACTAGTCATATCTAAGCCCCAAGCAGGCACAACAGCAAGGCACCGCGTCTTCCACAGCACAACACATGATCAACCCGTACATATCCCAAAACATGGGAATCACAAGCATAATGAAGGAAAAGGTACGACATCCTAGAACCATTTTGTGCTGAAAGGGTGTGCAAAAATCAAAAAAAGAAACGACTTAAGCTTTTCCCTGTATGAATGGATATCAATGGATATGAATGGATATGAACGGACATCAATAGTATAGTAACGGGACAATAACATTACTAACGGATATGAACAATTCTTCTCCGGCACTCAACTGTTTCCGCCAGGCGACGGCACGGAAGCCCGTTCGGGTATGTGGACTCATAAAGGGCACCAGCAACTCAGAATAGATGCACATGGCATACCTTGGATGTGTTTGGGGCTGGGGGGAGTCATCAAGAGTTATACCCTCTGGTAATTTAACATAGCTATTGAAAATGGCCATTTATAGTGGATTTTCCCATTAAACATGGTGGATCTTTCCATAGTTTTTTGTATGTTTACCAGAGGGTACCATCTTTCTGTGTCCTCAAAAACATGGGAAATCCATGGGAAATCCTATGATGATAGCTGGGCTGCTGGGACGCTGGGAGCTGGCGAAGTTTGACATACTTCGGTGGATTTCTCCAGCCAGAGATGAAAACCAGTTCTAGTGGATTAAGAGCTGGGAAAAACATAGTGAATATATGTGAATATAGTCATACTATAGTCATACTATAGTCATAATATAGTCATAATATAGTCATAATATAGTGACATAATGTGATATCAAATCCAAGAATATCCAAGATACTGCTTCTTGGCAACGCTCAAGTTGCTTACGAAGAGGCCTCAATGGAAATCACCATGGCCATGGCAATGTTTGGACGAGTTTGAATCTCTCACCACTTCGTAGGTTTCAACAGAGTATTGGATTCTGGGATCGCAGTTTCTCAATCTTCAATCTGTTCAATGAGTGCTAGTGATGAGTGCTAATGAAACATGAAGGGTCGAAACTCTTTGGAATCAAACATCCAAGCCATCCTGTTCGTTCATGTCTCTCGCCGGGCAAAATCACACCGCTTCCAAGTTGCCATACGTAAGGCACAAGGCCAGTGAAAAGGCAGCAGGCGTGCTATATCCTGACATGGTCAGGGCTCAAGAAGGAGTACCAAAGGACCCTTGCATTTGGTCACTAGTAAACCCACTAACCGCGTTCAATATGTGCCATTCATTTTGAGCCACAACCCCTCTTGACAAACTTTACAAAGTCTCGAAAATGTCTCGAATGTTGAAGGCAAACAATGTCATCTTTAACAAGGATCCGAGCACACCAAGCATCTAAACGGCAACCAGGCTCGCTCGAAGTAGTCTGAAGTCAGATATTCAGGCCCAGCTGCTCCACCAGGGAGCATCAGGTTCAAAAAACCTTGGCTGATTCTTTGCAGCTGATTTTCTGCACCATGGCAGCACATGGCAACTCTACGTAGATCTAGTGGTTTTGAAGTCTTGAGTTTCAAGCGCCAGTATCCAAGTCCTGCATATCTGCAGCTTCAGAATTAAAACATATCAAAATTGGACACTGGCCCCAAGTGTTCCAGACTCATGACTTGTTTCCTCTCGGCAACAATCTAATACTTGCAGCAGCCACCAAGGGACAAATCTAGACTGATTAGACTAATGCTGCAAAAGAATTCACAAGAATCATTGAACCCCAAAACATCCCAAAACGACGAAGAAAAACTCCATTGTGTTCCCTTCAAAATCACCGATCCTCGGGCACATCTCCATTTTCGATTTTTTTGACCGATTCAACCACTGTTCTGCCAGGTAGCTCACCGCAACAAGGCCTAAAGAGACGCCAAGAATGGCATCGCAAATCGATTTCACCAAGCCGCCCAGATATGGCGTCACCAGAAATGCATACCTTGGAAATTCCATGGATTGTTCAACATGTGAAAATGCCAAAAGCATCAGCACTGGTGTGCACCTGCATGTCCCAGTAACTATCCCAGGACTCAAATTGACAGCACGCAAAGGTGCATTTCCGTACGGATTGTCCCGGAACTTTTGGAGTGTTGAGCTGCATCTCACTCGAAAATCACCGCAATGGTCTCAACACTGGATAGTTCATGCCTAACCAAGGAATAATGCCCCACTCCTATTCCCCGATACTTCATGTTGAATACTGCAAGTTCTGTTTTTGCATTATTGTCATTGTCTTGCTCCGCAGGATTTGCATTGGTGTCAACAAAATCATACGATATCCAGAAGGACAGTTGACTTCCGACTGTTCTATACCCCCATCACCCACTGAAAACCATTTTGGGACAAGAGTCCAAAAGGGCAGGATGTGGAAGATACGCATCAAATTCCTGGATAGACAGACTATGAAAATTGGCCCCTACATCCAAACCTGTGCCTGTGTCTTGGAAACCATTGGGTTTCCAAAGAGAGTTTTCTGTGCACGGCTGATGTTGTGTACTAAAATACAAGCAAACATAGCTGAACTTCTCTGCCTTCGCACATCTGTGATCTTCGGTACATCAAACATGGCTTTTCTCCCACATTCTTCAACTTTTGCCACTACGCAAGCTCTGCCAATACACCTAGCTTACTGCCTCCAAGCTTCGTTGGAATGAAGCTATATGGACTTTTTGAGCAAGTCGCCCAGCTACTCACAGGCTCCTCGGCTCCCGAAGTAACTACGGAATCCTGGGAAGGGGATCATAAGCTATGAGAAGGAAATAGAAAAGGAAACCACAGGACACCATCTGATTTTGCCCAAACCAACATGTATAGGAATAGGATCAATATTATATAACATTATATAACATGATATAACTACATTAATCAACAGCATTATATCATCAATATATCATCATATCTCCAGAATTCTCATCATTTTCAACCAATCCATTGAACCCAACATCTCCACCTCGTTTTTTGGGCACGGGCACCTCTGGCGCGCTTCGACATGGAAACAACAGCGGAACGGAGCAGATTCCCAGGACGTAGACCGCTGCCGAGCGTAAGGCCAAGGCATACTCCAAGCCATCACCTGGGAGATCCCTGCCCGGTCCCGAGTTAACGCAACAACACATTTGGGTGTTGCTGAAGTCTGTTTTTTGCTGTCCCCAATTTTAGGAAAAAACCTCACATATGGTGAATATATGATACAATATATTATATATAATGAGTGTGTGTATATATATATATATGTGAGAATATGTGATAAATCTTGAACAATTATGAATCTCACATATGGTGAATATTAACCGAACATCTAATTGTTTGGATGAACGATGATCCCCACGAACCGCACCACACCCTGGATCTGCCAAGGAACTGCATGCGCTTGCAGGCCTGGTCAGCATGCAAAAAAACCATAGCCCAAACGAGGGCTTAGCATATCCCATAGGATCCATGTATGCTATATATGGTAACATTTACCATCAATATACCCCCAATGTTAGCATATATACCATACATGGATCCTATGGGGATGAGACTCTCTATTTCATTGGAATCATGCCTTTGACCCATGCTCATTTGGATTCATTTGGTGACATGACTTGGAAGCTGAGCGTCGATCCGATCGATCCCCGAAGTCATCCGGCTGGTGTGCCCATATCTTTCTTGCCATATCATCTATCGTCGTTTCTTTTTGAACTGCATGCTACTTGGAATGCGAAGCTGGCCAAGGTCAGCGATGAACACGACAGCAATCTTTGTTGATCCTGAGGTTCACAATCTGTGGTTCATCAAACTTACGAAACGAAAACAACAACCTTCTAAGCGACGGTTGAGGATACAGCATCCCCCAAGTTGGTCCAGAACTATGTGCACTTCATGGCCATGTACATGATGGTTGTTTTTTTTTCAGTCCTCCATCAGCACCCATGGATGCCAATCTGTGGATGTCATGGAATTGACATGAATATAATTACTATACTTTGAGATATAAAGACTCTTACAAGTAGAAGTTGGAATCATGCCAACAGATGGAATATCATGCAAGGCTAGCCAGAGTGGTATACATGGCAGCCCAACCAAACAAACAACGTAGAATATTCACCCCGCTTCGCGTGGGGTGGCCGCCCACACCGCAGGTTTATTTCGGTCCGTGAGAGGGGCTAAGGGTGGTTTCCCCCCGTGGGGGCTCCCCAAGCTAAGAAGTTTCACTTCCCCCCCCCGTGGGGGCTCCCCAAGCTAGGGAATTTTCACTTTTCCCCCCCGTGGGGGCTCCCCAAGCTAGGGAATTTTCACTTTTCCCCCCCGTGGGGGCTCGCCAAGCTAGGGAATTTTCACTTTTCCCCCCCGTGGGGGGCTCCCCAAGCTAGGGAATTTTCACTTTTCCCCCCCGTGGGGGCTTCCCAAGCTAGGGAATTTTCACTTTTCCCCGCCGTGACAGCTTCCCAAGCTATGGAATTTTCACTTTCCCTCCCTTGGAGGCTCTCCAAGCTGCGGAATTTCAAATAGCTAGACAACGACGCCTAGATAGTCCTCCAAATCCCGTGTTCTTTGAATGTGTTTCCATGTTTTTGCAATGGTTTCCTTCAAAGCACGGTACTTTACACTTTTGTCGCCATAAAACCGGTCGAAAACATCATGTTCGACAATGCTTCCAATTTCCTTATCTCCTCCCCAACCGTTGAAAATACCGCTATTTACAGTGTTTTCTTCAATTTTTCCATGTTCCAATGCCGGTAGCCAACTCCAACATATATATATATATATAAGAAATCCTTCCAAAACATTGTTTTGACAGTGTTTTTCCAATGTTTCCAGTCAAACAGACGGTAATTTACACGTTTTTTGCCATAAAGGCAGTAAATCCTTCCAAAACATTGCTTTTGACAGTGTTTTGTAATGTTTCCAGTCAAGCATACGGTAATTTACACGTTTTTTGCTATAACGTCAGTCCAAAACACTTGTTTTTGCAGTGTTTTCAATGCTCTCGCATCCAAAAACCCTGCAAAATCTTCCTATGTACAATGTTTTTTTCATTTTTGGCCGTTTTTCCATTGCCGGAAAGCTACCAAAATGACCCAAAATTCCATTTCAATACCCTCTTGCGCTCAGACACCCAAAAATCCTCGAAACATGTCGAAAACACCACCGTATTCTGGTCTCGGTGCGAAACCGTTTTTGGGGTCTGGTCTCGGTGCGAAACCGTTTTTGGCCCCCCCCCCCAGCTAAAGCTGGTATAGCGACTGCTATATTAACAAATGTCATTGAGCATTTAGTGTTGCTGTTGCCCCCCAATAAGCACGCCTTCACCGCCAAAGCGGTGTGGGCGGATTTTTGGAACAAATAAGTCTTTCAGGTGGGATTGCTACAAAAATGTAATCTGCAAATGGAAGATCTTCCATTTTGGTCCATTTAGTTTGATGATGTTCAGATGCAATGTAGAGATTTCCTGCGGCCAGGTTAGGCATCCCCAGATCCCATCACAATTTCCCCTGTAGAAGTATGGAGGTTGCCAATACCATCTCAGGGAACACTCTCCCATTTTTCCACTAACCCATCCCCATATTGCTGTTTGATGCTGTTTGATGCTGTTTGATGCTGTTTGATGCTGTTTGATGCTGTTTGATGCTGTTTGATGCTGTTTGATGCTGTTTGATGCTGTTTGATGCTGTTTCTATCTCTACATAATATACCATATCCCTTTGGATCACCATGAACTGGCTGGTCTAATCCCCTATGAAATCACCATACAACTAGCGGTTCTCTTCTGTTTGCACCTTGATTTATTGCGACGGGTACCCTGATACCCTGGTGGCTGGTGTATAAGTTTGTCCAAAAATGGGGTACGCCTAAATTCACTGTTTTTCTTCATTTCCCACATAAAATATCATAAAATTGCATTTGTTTGGGCATTTTCAGACACACTATTAATATCTCCAAAGATCATATTGTTGGCTATCTATGCTGCTTAAATCACCCATTATCCCACCATCCCGCATGATCCCTGGCAAGCATGGTGGATGTAGGGATCCACTTATTAGGGACCATACAAACGGGCTGTTTGCTATTAGGAAGGTCGGATTAAGTCATATAAAGATTTAAAAAATATTAGCAGCTAATCATAATTATCTCATTATCTGATTCAGAGTATCATCCCATTATCAATGGTATAATAGCATCAATAATAGTATCCCATTTCAGCAGTTAATTATATTCCTTTAAGTTACACAGTTACAACCATATATAGTTCCCATTACAAACATCATAATCTATAAATATGATCTCTATATATACTCCCTATGATTATCCCATGATCCAATATATACTCTATATATATACACAAAATTATACAAATATACCCTCTGGTAATTTAACATAGCTATGGAAAATGACCCATTTATAGATGGTTTACCTATTAAAAATGGGGATTTTCCATGGCTATGTTAAATAACCAGAGGGTATATTTGTTATCCCATTAAACCCTATTTCCCATGCCGGGATTGCGCCTCAGCAGCTTCCAACTTCGCCACAGGAAGATCAGCAGCCAGACAGCCAAGGCCGCGGCGGCCAAGGGCGTCACGTCCGCGTCGCCAAAGAAATGTGGCTCCGCCATGGCGAAATCCGCGCAGTTTCGGGTCAAATTGAAGAGATTCAAAATATGGTTGTCATTTCCTAGCTATATCCTAGCTATCAATCTGTTGTATATTGTCATATCGTTGTCATTTCCTGTGAATTGTTGAAAGTTCATATGTAGCTAGTCAATGCTAGTCACCTACCGAACTTATCGTTTAGGACAGGGTGATTGTAATATATTATAAATATTATAATATATTGTAATATAATGTAATATCAGAATTTGGCCCAGGATTGCACGTTGCTCCACAACCTAGAAACTATACTTGGTGTCAGCCAGCAGAATGATCTTGGCATGAAAGGATATGAAAGGTATATCCTGGCAATCCACACTGAGTTTGTTTATGCGACTGATCAAAAGTTTCTCCCTCTCCTGGATTCTTCCAACATAGAATTCACCAACCTGAAAAGTTCGGCCGTTTGGTTTGCGGATGACTCCCCAATCCTAACTGCTGCCGCGTTCTGGTGCGACTGATCAAAACCATTCCGCTTGATAGGCAAGAAGCTGCCAAATCAGAACGGTAGAAAGGAAAAACCTGGAGGGTGCAGGATGCATCTCATGAACCATAAAACATGTCAAAACAAACAAGGGGGACCCAAACACACACGCACAGTATAAGTGAAGGAAATCGAAGCCATTTCAAGCTCACTTGCCTGCCTCTTGGTCAAGAGGAAACCTATCTTGGATCCTCTGAATCAACTCAGAAGTTGACAGCCCGTCAAAGCGAGGCAAGGGGACAGCAATGCCCAGCTTTCTGGGAACTTTGTAGTATGGATCATCGTCTGGGTTCGGGAAGCGATCGAAGTACTCTTGGCCGACTGCACAAACATGGATATCGTGCTCTTTCAAAAACTCCTCTGTCATGCCAAAACATAAGGCATTCGAAATGACTTTGTCAACATGTTTGCATCCAAGAACTTGAGCTTCTCTCTCTGCAGCCGTCATGATTGGTGGACGCTTGTAGTTGTTGGCATCCTTGTCACCGACAACTCCAACAAAAACATGCGTTCCAAGCTTGGATGCATTGCGGAAGAGGTTTTGATGTCCGATGTGGCACATGTCGAAAATACCATCGCAATAGACGTTCTTCCGCGGAGTGTCCAGCAATTCTCTCGTCTCGTAGTCATCAGACAGCTTACTGTGTGATGACTCTGCCAATTCTGTTGGCACAGTCAAGGCAGTTGCTTTCCAGTCTGGGGACATTCTCTCGCAAGCTCTTCGAATCAACTCAGAAGTTGACAGCCCGTCAAAGCGAGGCAAGGGGACAGCAATGCCCAGCTTTCTGGGAACTTTGTAGTATGGATCATCGTCTGGGTTTGGGAAGCGATCGAAGTACTCTTGGCCGACTGCACAAACATGGATATCGTGCTCTTTCAAAAACTCCTCTGTCATGCCAAAACATAAGGCATTCGAAATGACTTTGTCAACATGTTTGCATCCAAGAACTTGAGCTTCTCTCTCTGCAGCCGTCATGATTGGTGGACGCTTGTAGTTGTTGGCATCCTCGTCACCGACAACTCCAACAAAAACATGTGTTCCAAGCTTGGATGCATTGCGGAAGAGGTTTTGATGTCCGATGTGGCACATGTCGAAAATACCATCGCAATAGACGTTCTTCTGTGGGTGGCCTGCCCAACTGCAACCCGACTTTGGTGGGTGATTTTATGTCGGGGGATCAAACATGCACCTGCCGGGGGATCCAAATGCAAATCATTTTCTATATAATGTGGCAGTTGGACTCTTGCCTTTCTCAACCATAGACCTACCCAAAGACTGCAAGAAACAGCTTCAAACATTAACACAAACACATACACATATGACATTTATATAGCAGAGGTCTTCTCTTTTCAGATTGAATACACAAGCCATGCCGACTCTCTGCTACAGTAAGCGCCTTCTGCCATGGCAACACTGCTGAAGATGGTGCAGGGAAGGCCAAGAGGATCAAGTAGCAGCTGTGAACTTAGAACGATACTGTATCGTCCTTTTCAAGGGCAAACATCATGGACATGGGATTGGCAACATAAGTAAGTGTGCCAATCAATCTGAAATTACATCAAGTTACATCCATAAAAATGTAGGTTTGTTGATAAAAAATTGGACTGCAAGTCGCTGAATGCAGAGCCAATCTTCAGGTTTCTGCAGGGAGCCGAAATCCATGGCAGTCCAAGTTGAATACGGACGGCACCTGGGAAATTCAACTGTGAACATTCTAAGAACACTGAACTAACACCATAGGAACAGCCAAACTCTGCACATGGGGAATTACGAATGTAGCCACCCAAAGCATGACAACTTGGGGGCGTGTAACCAATCCGAACAGTGTGCACAACAAAGCCTAGAGTAGTCTAAAAACATGAGAATGACTATGACAAATATGTTGAGAGTGGGTGAGTTACCCCTAATTGACTATGAGTTTCAATAACATCAACAACAAATCAACGAACCTCGAGTTCGGTCCATGGTCGGTGCCCATCGATCCCCATCTGCGGCGACTTTTCTTCAGAGATCTAGAAGCTCCAGCATCCTGGACATAGTGAAGATGGCTATTCCCTGTGACCCCAAGATCTTGGCTAGCCAATTATATATAATATTTAAGGGGTGGTAATATAATATATAATTGGGGTGATACTATTATTATAACATATAGTATCACCCCAATTATATATATATAACATTCACATAATGATCATCATTTGGGGTGATAATTGTCTTGTCTATAAACCATCTAAATCCTAGGTAAAAAATCCGCATCTGCCAAACCAATCAACAGAAATCATGTCTTAATGGCTCGTTTTGGTGCCAGTATTTGGGGATTTTCCCTGAGCCCAGTGTTGCCCCTGGTGGTGTTTCTTTAAACCTCTGGCACGATGGGACTTCCCACACTGGCCATGGCCCCATTATGGCCATCCCATTAAGCTTCCAATGGCCCCATCGATGGCCCCATTCCCAGTACCATACGAAAAAAACAGTTGTATCAAAATTGATAACACACACACACATGGCAATGGTTATTGCATGGTATCGCAGGATCGTTTCTCAACCATCTTCATTTTTCGGAGTCTCTGAAAACAGGGTACAAATTAGAAAAACATCAGCCATTATCATCTTCCACATCTTCCATACAAAATTGCCAAAACTTTGGGGTAGCTCAGGTAGACCCCCATTTTGCCTGGGAAAACCCGGGAAAACAAGCCAGGCCTCTGACGTGGAGCGCTGGACAAGAGAGTAGCCTGAAGGTTCTCCAGCTGGACTCCGGAGCCATCACCAATGGTCTATCAATTGGTGAACCATAGTGTATCCAAACACGTGGAAAATGGATCAACATTATGTCTGCCAATTTTGGTGCATCATAATACAGCAATACATATATATAATATAGCCATTGATTATAAATCGTAATAGATTACATTATATTACAATCACGCTCTGAAAAACCAAAACACCCACGATGTCTACCAATTTGGAGGTTTCCTAAGTCATGGGGGGACCCCCAAATCATCAATTGTTTCTTGGGTTTTTGCATTATAAATTATATTAAATTATAAACCATCCAGCTAGTGGGGTACCCCCATGGCTATGGAAACCTCGTCGTCCGCTGTGGCACCGTGCCCAGCGGCATTTCGGGGGCACATGTGGAGCCTCTTCAGCACCTGTGCATCACAGTTTCGAAAGAGAAATCCTTGTTATTTCTGCATTGTAATGGGATATAGTTGGGATATACATATAATTGTATTTGAGATATATTAGTTGATGTATATATATATATATATTGGGATATTATAGCGGGATAGAATTGGGGAATATATTGGGATTATTTCATATTATGTCTACAATTTTCTACACGTACAAGGACATATTTTTTTGGTCTCATTACATCCCCTAGTAATAAATGTTGGGCATAATTGACCAACTTTTATTGGGGGATATGGGGACAAATGGAGATGGGTCAACACCGACCATGAGTTGGGAGAAAAAAACACGATTTTTAGCAGGGGTGGGGACAAAACTGACATAATTTATACACTGGGATGGCCATTTCAACGGGTAATTCATCATCATTCACTTTCTAGGGATACACTATACCTAAACCTAAATCATCTTAAATCTACTTGAAGGTTTTTGATTTGGCATGCTCCCAAAGAGCAAACCAGCTATTCAACTGATCTCGATACTCCAAGGTCGCCACTCAACTGTCGCAGCAGCTCTTTGGGCTGCCTGGAAGGAGGCTAAACCTTGTCTCTCTGGCTCTGGGGGCATTAAATACTGGGACCATCTGGGACCTTTTGTTTTATTACTGTAATTATTCAACCAAACATAACCAAACCATTACTAATTCATACAAATTCATGCTAATTCAACACGTTTCAACAAGATTTAAAATGATTTAACCCTCAGGATAGAATAAACAAAAAAAATGTCGAAACTCAGCAGATCTCTGCATCTTTTGGTCTCAAATGCCATAGATCAGCCGGGTACTCTTCCGACACGTGGCCAAGACTTCGGCTCGTGACACCCCTTTGAGACTGGCGATTTTGTCCGCCACATATGACACGTGACCAGGATGTGCAATGCGGCCACGAAAGGGCTCAGGTGCCATGTAAGGACTATCGGTTTCAAGCAAGATACGCTCAAGTGGCGTGTTTCGAACCACTTCTTGAACTTCGGGTGCATTTTTGAAGGTCACAACTCCAGTAAAACCAAGGCGCAGGCTGGAGAAACGCTCCAACAAAGCCTGCGCCAATGTATTTGAGCTGGTGAAACAATGTACATGTACAGGATGCTCTGTGGGCAAATGTTTCTCCATCAGCTCCAAAGTATCTTCTTCCGCAAATCTGGTGTGAACCACCAATGGTTTCTTCAAAGAAACCGCCAAGTCCATTTGTTTCGCGAAGACCTTCCGCTGCAAGCCTCGCAACTTCGGATCCTTCACCTGCCAGGTGTGAAACGCCATGAACCGCTAAACATCGGAAAATCTATGGTACCAAATAATAAGAAACAACAATCATAGGCCTAGAACATCCTAGAACAATCGTTTGCCTACAAAACTTCAAAGTCATTGAATACATTGAGCCATATGAACATGGAAAATGCGTTGCATCCACAGTGGAACAGAACATTGAATCTGAATATATCTGAATTTTGACAGCATTCCAACTCCTCGAGGATCAGGAATCAATTTCGACAGAGTTATATGTGCGACGGTCTAAACATGGTACTGGTTCCATGGTCATCGGTTTAGGGGGCATCGCTCCTCAAGGTCCCCTATCGCTCCCCGCAGGAAATCGCACATTCTTGAAAGTGACGGCGGCCGAATATAACATCTCCGCATACCATCTTTTGACGCTTGCTCATATGGTGTTTCCAAGTAAAAATGGTTTGCCGTCACATATTATCTATGCATATAGTATGCATATATATTTATTTATTTATTTATATATATATAGTAAATGTCATGTGTAATATATAGATCTCTATTTGCTATATTGATTATGTAGACACCATCTGTTTGTGCATACGCATTTCATTTACAAATATACAATTGATACACTCACACCTGGGAATCCCCCAACAGAGTCCAACACTTTTTTTAAAAAATCCAGCGCCTGTCCACGCGTCTTCTTGTCGAAATAGTCCAAACCACATTCACCCCAGGCCACAACCTTCTGCATGGTCATCATGGCCAGCAACTTCTTCTCCACCTCATGGGGGACATGAAGCTGGATACCAACACCAAAAAATTGGAAGGTTTTAACGGTACATTAATATGGATCTATATGACCGAAATGATCCGCATAAATCCGGGCAAAACAATTTTGGGACCAAGAGATGTCATATCCAAGAGAATTGTATCGCCATATGTCGTTTTCTCTGGTGTTATACTAACAATGATCAAAATGACATAAAATGACAACAGTATATAAAACATACAAAACTTGCACATGTATGCAAATGTTACCTCCGGCAATTCAAGATAGCTTTGGAAGTCCATTTATAGATGATACTGATGCCTCATCATCCCAGTCGTGCGCATGGAGGGGATGAATGCCAAAGGCACCGTAGATCCCATCCTTAGTCACAATTTTCATGTGCAAATTTTATCAAATTTTATGAATTGTGGTCCATCTATGGGTCAAAAGTCCCAGAATTGGATGGTTACCATGACAAAGAATGACCAAAACTCATGATTTCCACAGGTTCCATGACAAAAATTTTCATCCCATGCTGAATCGGCTCATGGGATGATCGTAGCCTGCCCAGCAATGGACTGGTTCCTTCACATGTCCTGTTTCCCATTGAAACAGTCACTTTGGGGGGACACACCATAAGAAAAATATAGAAAAATGATATATGATGAATTACTGGTATGATGATATATGTTTGTTTTTAGCACGGTTCTAATCCTTATCGTTGTTTGAGTGTCACGTTAAGGTACTAAGCTAATAATGATCGATTGTATTATCATATTATCAATATCATACTGACTTATAAGTTACGTTGGATACAGCCCATGTTTCAATATTTTTTCAGACATACTGACTGTAGTATACTGTAGTCATTTGCAGCCCTTGGCTCATACTTCAAGAAGGATGCCGCTTGCTCCAGGTCTGCCTTTTGACAGCCGATGTTGACACACGCTTCCAAGTCATTCTCCGATCCCTCCAAGGAGTCACGCCATTCCTGGTGCTGTCACTTCTAAGAGCATCTTCACAAAACACATATAGTCTATTAATGTCTATTAATGTCTATTAATGTTTATTAATGTTTATTAATGTCTATTAATGTCTATTAATGTCTATTAATGCTTATTAATGTCTATTAATGTCTATTAATGTCTATTAATGCTTATTAATGTCTATCATATTAATGTCTATTAATGCTTATTAATGTCTATTAATGCTTATTAATGTCTATTAATGTCTATTAATGTCTATTAATGCTTATTAATGTCTATTAATGTCTATTAATATCTATTAATGCTTATTAATGTCTATTAATGCTTATTAATGTCTATTAATGCTTATTAATGTCTATATATTAATGCTTATTAATGCTTATTAATGTCTATTAATGTCTATTAATGTCTATTAATGTCTATTAATGTCTATTAATGCTTATTAATGTCTATTAATG